TGGTACTGCTTCATGTAGGTTACTAACATTGTACTGTCTTGCTGATAGGTTAACAAGTATGAAGGAAATTACTTGAAGTATGCAGGGTTTTAAGAGGATTTTCAGGTTTTACATTGTTTGGCCTTTTTTTTTGGGAGTGATGTATAGGTTGGAGGTTTTAGCTCTGCTCAAATCAAAGATGTTTTTCATAAATGTGTTAGTGTAATATACATGAAAATTTTTGTCTTAAAATAGAGTGAAACAGGATTCAGAGAAAACGGGAATCTTCTCTCTTCTAACTAAAAAGATTCTTGCTCCAAGGCAACTGTTTCTGAAAGTTATTGGTTTGTGACATGTACTTTGCCAATACCCCATTTTCCTTCTTCTTCCAACCACTGCCATGCCATTTTCAGATCTCCAGTGTCTACAGTTCACAGCAGGAAAGAGAAAAAGGAGCAGCCTTCAATTTCTCTGCTTAGAGTTTGGGCTGTTTCATACAGCTTTTCATTTCTGCTTCTAACCTCTGTTGTTAAACAGAGGCGCTGCTGAAAAATAAACTATTTGACTGTGGTTTTGTTCCCTATTGCCATTATCATCCTTCTAAATAAGTGTTTTTGCCACAGTGTGTGGTTTTCTAGCAAAACAGAGCTTGGAGATTCTTGGTTAAAGCTGAGCTCATGGTTAAATAATACAGGTGAATATAATCATTGCAATTAAAACTGTCCTTGAGTGCTATGGAAGAAGACAAAAAGCTGCAGGGAAGTGTCTGCTGGAGAACCAAGCTTGTTGTTTAGCAAAAAAATTAAATTTGCTTTGTTTGTGTTTGCTTTTATAGAGGCAGCCCTAGTGGTTACATTTTCTAAGAGGTAACAATTATATGAATTATAGCTTAGGTTTTGTTCAAATATTTTGAGGTAAAACCATACTTAATTCGACATGTGGGGAATTTTTTTTGTTGCAGCTAGTTCACTTATTCCCACTGTTAATGATTCAGTTCTGGCATTATAACCCCTTTCCAGGCTTCCACAACTATTATTTTTGGCAGCTGATATTGCCCAGAGCTACCATCTTTCCTTAAACTTATCCAGATCAGGCATTAGTAATAAAGCCCCTAGAAAAAATAAAGCTAGATATGTAGAAATCAAAGATTCTAAGTCAACTAAGTCTTTTGCAAGCTTCAAACTAGAAAGCTTACAGTTAGTGTAGTTCCAAAGCATGAGCTGTATTTTATGAAGGAAATCACATAATGTGTGTCCTTGATTTCTTATCTCAAATGTGCAGATGACACTTTGAAACATAGTGTCTCTTGCTCTGGTAGATTTCTTGACATATTACAACATAGTTAGAAAAAATTGTAAACAAAATAATGAGGAATAATCTTCTACTTGCTGACCAGTCTGCATTAACTGTTCCATGATGTTTTTTCTGGCTACTCACACTGCTGAGTTCAGCAATCATTCCTGTGCCTTTCCAAATTTCTCATAATTCATTTTAGAAGTTGTCCTGCACTACAGAATCACAGGATGGGTATGGCTGCAAGGGTCTGCAGTGGATCCTCTGGTCAGACTTCCCTATGGGAGAAGGGTCATCCCAGAGCACATGGCACAGCATTGCTTCCAGGTGGTTCTTGAAAATCTCCAGGGGGACTCTGCAATCTCTCTGAGTCACCCACACAATAAAGTTCTTCCTCATACTCAGATGAAACTTCCACTGTGTTAGTTCATGCCACAGACCACAGCCTGAAGATGAGTTATCAAGTTATTACTTCTTTGTGGCATAATTGTTTTCATCATTTTGCTTTGCCATCTTTTCCTCAAGAGGAGTTTCAGTACATCTACAGCCTAATCAGTGGGTGGAAATACTGAAGGCCTTTTTTTTTTAATATAGATAGGATGTGTGAAATCCAGTTTAGGTTTTTTCAAGTTTTGCTCTGCCTTTATTTTGAATCTTTATTTTTAATGTCTCTATATTATTTTCATCTATCCTCATTGATAGTTTTATGGATTTTGTAGTGTAGTGCCACTTTAAAAATTGCCTTACAGTGCTCTTGAACTTGTTCTTCCAGCTCATTAATCTAGTGGTAATAGAATTCATCATCTTGCTTAGCCTCCTTTAAAATCTCCGTTACTTTCTATTCTAATGCAATTTTGTGAGATTCTCCTGAAGGAAGGTGTTTTGTTTTGAGATGTAATCAAAGAGAAATAACTACCTATGATAGTTTTGTGAGACTTTCATTGCACATGTATTACTCAATAACATTGATAAGAAAAGGTAATGCAGAGTTTGACAGACATTAGGAAGCACAAGACCAAACCAAGTATTCAAATATATTTAATCAGGTTCCTAAAATAATGCCAAGGTATTTTAAGGATTGAGATTTTAAAATATGAAGAAATGAATATGGCTGTATGTAAAGTATCTATGCAACCATGAAAGGCTGCAGCCTTTTGTCAGAAATGAAACATATCCTTTTATAATTATGTAATTCCAAGACTTCATGCTATAGGAAATATGCCAAGTATTACAATATTTAACTAAACTCAAATGTTTTATCACCAGTGGAGATTGTGAAGGTTTCAAAAAGGAAGTATGTGAGTGTGAATGGCTCCACAATGTAGTATTAAAGACAGCAGATGATGCAGGAGGCTCTTTATGTGTTCCTAGTTAACATAGGGGAGTTCTATGGATGTATCCAATGTATCCATAATTGGAGGGTAGGAACATTGCTATGGTAGTGTAGCAGCCTTGAGTGTTTGACCACAGGCATTAAACACTCAAATAACTTAACACTGAGAAATTCTGAAAAAAATCTAAAAGTCTAGTGGCACTGAGAACACAAAGAATTGCTTTAGAGTGACTTTGAAATATGGCCACAAACTTAATGTGGTATTTCTTATTGCTGCTGTTGTACACAGCACTATTGTACAGTTAGCAACAGAGAACCAAGAAAGATGTTTTCTGGCTCATCAAGCCCAGCCTTCTCCCATTGGGGCAATGCTTGTTATTTTCTCCATCTAATTAACAAATCAAGCTTTTAAAAGTAGCTCTCATGAGCACCAAGGCTGTCCTTGCACATCACTGTCTTTTTTCTGTACATTTTCTAGCCTTACACTTTATTCATAGGGCAACTCAATTTTGACACATTTCTATAAAGCTTTCATCTATTAAATGTTTCTCTTCTGAGGTGTCTGGATGGAACAATTATGTTCCTGTTGTGTTCCTGTTGTTTCATTTCATTTAGTCTTCAACTCTCCCCAGCAAGAATGAATACAGTTTTAAGATGAAGAATTGGAAACATGACATACTTCAGATGAGTCCCCACTGATGTCTTATGCAAATCAATTAATATTTTCCCCTCACTTTTGGAAATATGTCATCTGATGTCTCTCAAGATGATATTTGCTTTTTCCAGGCTTCATCATACTGCCTCACACTCTTCCAGCTGACATTTGCAGATCTTCACCCTTTCCAGTTGAACACGCAGCTTGTAAACAAATGTATTATCTTTACACGTATGACATGTGGGTTTTGATGTTAAAACAATCCCTTTTTCTCACACACTAGTCTTCAAAATTAAAGCAGCTCTCCTGATTGATACTGCAGTGGTAGTCTGTGTTACATACATTACTGGCATCAGAGGTTTACTGACAGTTATCAGATAATTTCTTTTTGTCCTACATCTTGAATTTAAAAAAAATTAGAGACTGTGGTTGCTTTTTTCAGTTTTCACATATCATAGTGGCTTGACAAATGTAGTTAAAATCCACCTTTCAGGCTCTGTGGTTCCACATGTTAATTCCTCCAGAATTCTTTGGTGATTATTTATGTTCCTTTGCCCTCCCCAGCTTGAACCATTGAGCTCCCTGAATTTTCCTTCTTAACCTTCATTCCTGTTAATTAATCAGCTTACTGTCATCTCCATCTGCATTATAATCTTTACTGAATAACAAGGAAGAATGCTTACAAAACTTCTAAATTTATTTTACATCTCTGCCACATTCTTACTTTTTTCCCAGTTATTTATGTATGTATGTCTATACACAGGGATAAAACAGGTAATAACACATACATATGCAATTTTTTCTTACTATTTGCTTTATGTCAGCTTGACTTTTAGTAATCTTGAGTATGCACAGCTGCCATACCTGTGGATTTCTGCATCTTAATTCTAAAAACTTCATAGCTGACTGAATTTACATTTGTTTTAAATTCATATTCTCATTCACTTTCTTGCTATTACCAAAAAAAAAAAAAAGGAAAAAAGACACCTAGAGTACAACCCTTTAGGATCTGTACTTTTATTAAAATCAGTTTTCTATTGCCTATAGAAATGTCTGTAATAACTTTCTCTCCAATTCAGTGATACATCCATACAAGTGGATTATTTACAGATTTAAATTTAGGGCTGTAATTAAACAGAAGCCATTATGTATTTATTTGGTTTCATTTGCCTTTACTTGTCTAAATAGTCCTTGAAAGAAAAGATCAAGTGCTTACAAGTTCTTCATTATTTCACCCAGGGTTTTAGCAATGTGTTGGCCCACCACAAAGTGTTGTGTTGTACATTATAATTTTTTCTCTGCATCATTGATTATTTTAATAAACTTATATTTTGTTATGTAATAAAACAATGAGTTTTTAAAAAATTAATGGTGACTAGAACATCTTTGATACCATGATGTGTAGACATCTGATGGATTTTTTGGCTTCATAATACAAATAATGTTCAGATTAATTATCTTTGTTATTCATGGTTTCCTGTGCAACAAGCACCTATTTTTGTACAGAGGAAAAGAAAGTTGGAAGTGTAAGTCTGCAATGCTGTTCTAAAAACATTTTAATTTAAGTCAAGGCAGCGCAAGATCTGAGTAATGGTTACAGTCAAGACTTTCTATATGACCATTTACTTTTCTTTAGTTTAATTAGTTTTACACTTTTAACATGTGGATTAAGCTGCATTATATTTGCAATCAAGCACAAACTGATTATGCCTTATCACATAATTATGCCTTTTATCACAGGTTCCTTGCAGCTTGGAGTACTGGGATGAGCTTCAGAAATCATTTGTTGCATTCCGGGAATTCAGTCTGTCAGAAAGCAAAGTCTGCGAGCTGCAGCTGCCCAGTGTCAGCCTTGTGAACGATCAGAAGGAGCTCATAGCCTCTGACCTGTGGAGGATTGTCCTCAACAGCAGCCAGAACGTGGCTGATGACCAAAGGTAATTTTAAAGGAGGAGGGATAAAGACATCCAATGCCACACTCCTGAGAAATCTGTTTCAAGAAACTTAGAGAAGATACTTTTTTTATATGTGATAAGAGCAGTTAGTCCTGTACGAGCTTCAGACTGTACCTCATTATCACAGAACAGCATGGAGTGTGCACTAAAAGAGCTTTCCTTTAGGTTCATAGGCATCATAACCATCCAGTTTTTGAATACAAGGCTTACTGAAAAGTGCAGACACCTGATGTCCTGAGACCTCTTAGCTGCGCCAGGCAGTAAAATCAGCTAATTAACAAAAGAAGGCTTAAATGCAATCTGTCCTATAAAGTAGTAGTAAACATTCTTCTTTCATTAAATACTTTCACATCACCTTGATTCTCTCCTCAGTTCAAGTCAACAACTATTTTAAAGATACTGAACAAAATGTTATTATTTCAATAGCATTGCATTATTATTCACACAGATTGCTTACTATGCTAAAAGGAAAAAAACCATAATCAGTGCTTTTTAAACACTGGGGATCCATTTTTCATTATATTTACAGTTAGAAACACTATGTAATGACAGATATTCACTGTGTTTGCATTCATTCCATTTTGGTTAGTATGTAGAGTAAAAAAAAATAAGTACAAGTTCTGTCCAGAAACAGCAGTGGAATTGCTTTCAAAGACCTGCTTAACATTTTATATTTAGAGCAGAAAACCCAAAATTACTCTTTTGGATCATTGGTATTTGCTGATTCTTACTGCTTGTTTATGAACCCAAGCTTCAATGAGTATGTAGCATCCATGTATGTGTTGAATGAAGCTACAGAATTCAGAGAAATCAGGGAATATAAGCATGGCTAACAAAATCAATGAAGAAAATTAAACATCTGGTTTCCATTAATAGTATCAGGTTGGAAATGATTTCTTGATGTTAATTGTGAAAGAATGCATTTTCATCATTGAGAAGTTAAGTGTTTTAGACAAGGTTAATTCCTCTGAATGTGGGACCCTGGCAGAATTGCCTTCCTGGTCAGCTTAACACCACAGAAATGTGAACTCGGTGGGAACTGGAAATGATGTAGTGAAATTTAGTAGATTTTTTTTTTTTCATCAAGGCATTTAGCACTGTAGTCATGTTTATTGTTTTCTGCTGGAATAGGATTTATCACTAGATGCAGTGTTTCATTCAGGGAGCTCTGATAAGCTAATGAGCTGTAATTGTTCAGAAACAACAGGAATTAAACTGAAGCATTTGCAGTTCACTGCACAAGGATTGCAGGAGATGAATGAAGGCAGCAAAAAATATTTACCTCACTGCTGAAGCATTTGAAGGTAAATAAACAGAAGAGAAAGAGGGAAGTCAAAGGAAAATTCCTTGAACTGACACCTACCTGTCCAGAGGCTGCAGTCACTAGTCCTGATACTTTTGTTAGCCTGGGGAATTCATAATAGCTTTAAGAAGTGTAGCTTATACCTACATGAACTAACAGTAGATTGGAAATTTAAAGATTTGTATAGGTCAGGGTGAGCTCCAGAAGCCAGAAACCTGTGAGATATACAAGGAAACCCTCTGATTTGAATCAGGGGAGAGAAAAAGTTATATTCCCTGCCTCAGCAGTGTTTTTAATTTGGAGGCATGGGTTTGTTCTCATGAGACCATGTCTGGAGTACTGTATCCAGTTTTTGGGGCTCTAAACTTAAGAAGGATGTGGGACTCCTGGAGTGATTCTGGAGAAGAGCCACAAAGATGATCAGAGGGCTGGAGCATCTCTCCTGTGAAGACAGACTGAGAGACTTGTAATTTTTCAGTCTGAGGAAAAGGCCGCTCTGAGGAGACCTTAGAGCAGCATTTCAGAACCTAAGGAAAGCTGGAGAGAGACTCTTTGCAAGGACATGTAGTGATAAGGGGGGATGGATTTAAGTTGAGAGAGGGCAGGTTTAGATTATATATGAGGAGCAAATTCTTCACTGTGAGGGTGGTGAGGCACTGGAATAGGTTCTCCAGAGAAGCTGTGGGTGCCTCATCCTTGGAAGTGTTCAAGGCCTGCCTGGGTGGGACTTTGACCATCCTGGTCTAGCGTAAGTTGTCACTGCCCTTGGCAGGGATATTGGAACTATAGTCTTTATGGTTCCTTCCAACCCAACCCTGTCTGTGGTTCTATGATACAAATTCAAACTGATCTCTGATTTCACACAAAGCTGCACTGCAAGCTTTCTTAAGGATGGCTGCAGGAAGGACCGGTGTGGAAGAAGTAGTCCTGACCAGTCAGGAGTGATCCTTCTCAGGAAACCTTCATAGGTCAAACCAAGAGCAGCTGTTCCTCAGATAGGAGGCTTTGACCTACAGTGTTTGAGGCACAGTGGCTTTTTCTCAGAAACAGAGCAAACATGCCAGTGACACATCACTGACCTGGAGGTTTTGAGACAGAGCCCAAGGGCTGAATGTGTATGGTTACAGCTACAGAACAAATTGAAGGTAATAGTTGAACCCTGAGGGGTCGTGTTATGTTAAAGGGAAGCCTTGTGTAGGAGATGGTGACAGAAACTGTGGACCTGCAGAGAACACAAACCTTTCTAGACGTCTAGTGGCTCATAGGAAGTCCATGTTGGAAGTAACTTTGCTGAAAATGCGGCTTCATCAAACATACTGCTGCTGGGATGGGTAATTTCTTCTCACCAAGCACTCTGAAATATGTTCTAGATTCGACTAAACCAAAAAATGCCTGACTTGGTTTTGAGAGAGACAGTGCCCAAAGTCTTGTTCCTAAAGCCAGCATTTAACATGGGATTTTGCAGACTCGTGGGAAGAGCCTCAAGGCTTGATGCCAGTGCTGAGGTAAACTAGGGAATTCTAATGCTGAGGGACCTGTGAGAGTAAGAAACAAAGGCTGTAGAAAAGTTGAACCTCAGTTTTCCTTTACACTTACAATGATTTGACATCAGTTACATGCTGCAACTGTATGATTGGTTAGCAATTGTAATGCACTATTAATTGCAAAGTATAAAAATGCTTAGTCTTGTTCAAGTTTATCTTCTTGGTCTGATGTTGCATTTTGGGTCAGACTCTAACCACTGCCATATGCATGCAGCTGCTGCTCAATGATATTTTTTCCTTAAAATTCTGCAGGTTTTGTTGGGGTTTTTTTTTTTTTTTTGTGGTAACTCTGTGATATGCTAATTATTATTAGCAGAGAGCTGACCCATTGTGGTTTAGTGCTTTATTACTGATTCCTAACATTGGTTATAAAGTATGAAATTTAGGTGTCTTATGTGACAGGAAAACAAGGTTTGTGAGAAGATGTAGATTCAGCTGATACGATGAGCAGTAGCTGGCAGGGTGAAATAGAGCAGCCAGTAATGAATATGGGAATATGCAAAGATGTCATGACTCAAATCCCGTGGTATGCAAGCTCTTCTGAGATTGATCAGGAGCTAACTGGAAGTACAAAAATCAAGGAGCTGTCTGATGAAGGGCATAATATATACATGTAGGTTGGTTTTTTTTGAGAAATTTGCATCCTATTAATTATTTCTATGTATGTATACGGTTTGCACGAACATTTATGGAAGTTTATTCAATGAATGAGCAAATTTGAAGTACTAAGTGAAATAATTTAGCATCTCTTTGGGGATGTAGTATTTATGAAAGAAATCATATATGGCATAAATGACTGTTTATGGAAGACCTTAAAACAGGGGATTACAAAGAAATTATCACAGAAAAAATTATTTTTATGAGTTGCATTTGGCTGTTGCAGGACTAACAAATCATAATTGAAATTACTTTTTAAGCTCTCTTTGGTTGGTGAGACACTAAAGCCCCTTCCTGGTTTGGTTGGGAATGATTTATACATTTTTTTTTGTTAAGTGGGTTACATTACAAGATGCTTTGTATATTTGTGCATCTTCTGTGTAATTTAAACAGTATTTTTATCATTACTGACATATTAATATAAAATAGTAATTGAAAGTGCCTTAAGATACAAACCATGAAACAAGTACAAAAACTTTTAAATAAGCCTTAAATTGCTACTTTTTAGAAATTCAAGTGAGGAATCGTGATCATGTTTCTTGCTAATTGTTTCAGCTTTTATTCAAAGTAAATGATGTACTGGGTTTTGACCTCTAACAATTTGGGTTCAGACCAGTATTTGAGTCATAAATTAAATGAGTTAAGTGGTCTCTTTCTTCTTCCCAGTGGATATTTTCCCATGTTGTAGTTTCATCACAAATGGCAGTTTTGGTTTAAATATTTCTCTCTTAAAATAACAAGAATAATGAAGGTCACTGCTAAGTCATTGTTCTCAGTTGCCATATGTTTAACTTGAGCTGCTTTGCAAGATGTGAAATATCATCATTTATATTACTTCAAATGTAGATATTTTCCATTTTAAATATTCTGATATTTCCCAGAACTTAATAAAGAAAAAAGAAAAAGAAAAAAAAATCTGGTAATAAAGTCAGGTCAGTTTTATTTTTAATTTCCTCTGCTTTTGTCACATTCCTGCTTTAGTATGATGTGCCAAACACAAAGCAGTAGAATCTGGTTCTTCCTCTTCTTTCACAGCTAAAAAATTGTGGACAGTCCACACTTCACTTTGTAGGTCCAAGGAAGCCAAGAATTGTGGGGGTGTTTTTGTATTGTATTCACTTGATGAACAAATTTTTGTTTCACAATTGCATCTTCTTCTGATATTAATGTTCCTACTCTTGTTCATCAAGACTTAATAGACATTTTCCCGTATTTTCATTTAACACTGCTTTATTGCTGTTTGTGCAAAGCATGTGATAAAGGGCTGCATTTTTTTCTTTTCATGCTCTCTGCAAAGTTAAAGGAGAAAGTGGCAGTGCTGCAGGTCTGATGGAAGCCTACCTAGGCAAAAATTTTAAATGGGATTCAATTTCAAATCAGGGTCATGGTAGTGACTACAGTTCATCTTTAAAAACTGTTTATTTATATTATGACTTTTTATTATAGTAGGGTTTTTTTAAAGAAAATACTATAATAATTTGATTGCTGCTTTTAGCATATTTTGTGCTGTAGCTGACTTACACTGTTACTGTACCCTTATTTTCATAATGACATGGTGGCTAAAATTCAGAATATGGTTTCTGGTTGAGTAAAAATCAAATGGACCCCCACACAGATAAAACAATTACTTGATTTATAATAACTTGATTGCTGCTTTTAGCATATTTTGTGCTGTAGCTGACTTACACTGTTACTGTACCCTTATTTTCATAATGACATGGTGGCTAAAATTCAGAATATGGTTTCTGGTTGAGTAAAAATCAAATGGACCCCCACACAGATAAAACAATTACACTTCAGAAAAAGTCTTGGCAGATAGGAAAGCAGTGGTGAAAGATCCTTGTTGCAGTTCTTCTCAGATGGTTCCTAGAAGGCTATTTTCTCTCTGTAGAGATGGTGGTTTAGGATGCTCTGTCCTGCTCCTCTCAGTCCCCTACTGCCAGTGCTTGTCCCTTCCTGGCAGGGCAGAGGATGCAAGGCCAGTTCTGTCCCATGGGGCAACTTTGTCCCATCCTCATTTGCTATTTCTCTCTTGTTAAGTTTTTAAGCTGGTTGGACTCTTGAATTTTGCAAGGTTTCCGTGTTGGGCCTTTTTGGTTTCTAAGGTGGCTCCATCAGGAAACAAAAAGCAGCTTTGAATCCTTTTGTTCCCAGCATTTTAAGTTATTGAGTATTACCTCTCTGTGGTCTGTTGCTTGTGGGGCAGAAAAAATGGAGAAAAAAATTGGCTAAATGCGTTACAATATTTCCCTGGTGTGAAGCTCCTGCCACATTTCCTTCTGCATCAGGCATGTTCTGTTGCTCTGTCATCATGGTGTTTATGAGTGAGAAATTACAAAAGTTCCACCACACTAAAATGCTCAATAAATAAAAAGCAGATATATAAATTTTACTAAATAATAAATTGGAAGGTTTTGTTTGGTTTTTATGCTATGAAAATAGGCATCTCCAAAATACATCAAAAGAAATAAAAATGCATAGTCACTGATAGATGAGTCAAGAAATAGGTTTCTGAGGACAATAAATATATATTGTCAGAATAAACCTCAAATATCAGAAATAGATTTCCTTCCTCTTTACTGCAATCAGTGTTACAGCTGTTCATGAAATCAAATCTTAATTCAGAATATCAAGGTGCAATTAGTTTTTTTTAAAGTTCTTCATAGTTTGGTTAACATTTGTTTGCTCTCATCTACCCCAACAGAAAAGTGTTTTCATTTCATATGTTCCTGAATTTCTGTTTCTAATCAAAACGCAACAAGCAAAACATCTTAAAATATTAATAGTTATTTTGAAAGAACTAACCAGTTTTTCAGATTCAAAAGCACTTAGTTGTCTAAATCAGCATATGAATTTTTGTCCTTTTGGATTTGGTTCCTTCCTTTGTTCCAGCAATCTAAGAAATATCCATGGCAGACAGAGCAAAGTAAAGCATCCTATTTCTCTGTTATCCAGTCCCATAGAGATTTTATCATGTGAACACAAAGAATAATTTTATTTCCAAAGGTGCCAGTTCTCCAAAGGCGTACAACACTGGTTTTGGAATGTAAACAAGCAATTTAAACAGGTAAAGAAGCACAGGAAAGCAGCTAAAGTTCTGATTAAGTAATTTATCTTTCATATTTTCCTGACCTAATCTATTCTTAGTACCCTGGCATGATTCTTTGATAATTAGCTAATCTTAGTTGGTTTTACTGCTGTGTAAGTATTTTATGTCCGCAAGCCTTAAGCTGGATTTAAGCTCTGTAAATAAATACTCTACTAGATAGTTACTGCAACACTAAATAATACTGATCCATTTACCTATCCATGGAATTCCATGCATTTGCAGCTGAATATTTTGAGTACCTACTATATTTGTGCATAATTTTGAAGTAAAACACATTGCATGATGAAAAACCCGGTCCTAAAAGCTTAAGGTATGTTGCTTGGAAAGCCATTGTTCACATCTAAACTTATGTTTGAATTTAAATTATTTTTTAAAATGTTAATGGAATTGGATTTATAGTGCTTTATAAAATCTAATGACTTTCTGACAAAAATATTAAGTTGACCTTAGTCCATCTTTCATTAAATTTTATTTTAAAAATAAAGATATTATTTGACTGAGGATGTGGTTCTAATTCTCTTGAATCAAATCTAAACTTTTAAACTAAAACTTTTGAGAGTCAAACTTCAAATGGAATGAGAGTAAGTTTTTGCTAAATTAGAAAGTTTATTTATACTTCTGTGGTGTCTTAGCAGGTTATAGAATTATGATGTAGTGTTAGTTCCTCTCAAGAGACTGAAAGATAATGCTTGGAAATTCATGGTGTTAGGAGCACAGCTATGAAAAAAAATCTGGACGGTGGCACGTGAAATGTATAGTTAATATGTTAGTAAAGGGCTCCAGACTGAGCTTATAGTACTTGGATATAATTTTTGAATCATGATTTTAGAGTGAGAAGGGCAAAGGAAATAAAGCTTACAAAGACATGGGGTTCATACATAGAAGTAGTTTGGTGGTTGAAGTTGGTTTCCTTAAAATCAAGTGGAAAAAACCAAATTCTCTTGACCTTTCACCTCATTCTTATAGCTTTAATAACAATAATTACTCTGTTTAACCATTTCAACAATTAAATATACCTGGCATATTTTGGTTTTATTTTCTGCAAATAGGCTTTGGGTTTGTGGTTCAAATATTTGTAAATTGAAAGCGTAGCTTGATAAAAGCATGGATGGATTGCAGTCTTGTCTGTTACGGTCTGCTTTGGAAAAAGTACAGACACTGGCATGAGCAGTTAAAATAAAACCATGATGTTGTCTGTGTCAGAAAATGAGTGTGGAACATCCTCAATTCCTGCTGTAAAGCTGCAAAATCCTGGAAGTGCTGAAGTACTACTTTGTTACCTTCCTTCTGCAGCTCAGAGAGTGAATCTGGCTCCCAAAGCGCGTGCGATCAGCTTGTGACCCCCACGGCATTAGCGGCCTGCACCAGGGTTGACTCCTGTTTTACTCCTTGGTTTGTGCCATCACTGAGTGTGCTGATCCAATTTACCTGTTTGGAAATCCATCTATGCCATCATCTTGATCAACTTGGCACAGGTAGGTACTGCTTTATGGACAATAATAAAATCATAGTTCACAGATGCTGCTTAAGCACTCCTGCTCCGTGTAGTCCCTGTTTCCTCATTCAAACAGGCATTCTTGCAACAAGCCATCACAAACAGCCACCAGTGGCTCAGGCTTCAGGGTGAAACCGATGACTTGTGTGCTCTGAGCCTGTGCACAGGGCTGGCAGTGAGGCTGGAGGAGCAGCCCCTTCCTGCCCCTGCAGTGGGTAACTGTAGAAGCCGTCTGTTTCCATAGTCTGATTAGGGACAGCAGGTGCCACTTCACTTTTGAGCTGTCTTAGTGAATGAATTTGATCTTTTACATTTTCCAGTGTATTAACAGTACTGTTAAAATACTTGAAGATTTTGCAACCCGCTTAGTAAAAATTCCTTGGAAGAGCTCTGAGAACTGCAGATTTAAGTTATTTCAGTTATGATCACTTTTGGAGCTACATCTGGTTTTGTTCAGTGCTCTCTGTCATTGCATTAATGGCAAATACATTCCAAGAGATCTTTAGATTATTGTCTGATTTTCAAATGCCAGGAATGCTTTCTATGGAAGACGGGCAAACTTCTGGGATAATTTTGACAAGGACAGCTTTCTTTGTGTGTAGTTTTCGTGTTTCTGCAAGTATTATAATATATTCATTATCAAATCATACCAAGACTGACATTCAGTGACTAGCAAATAATTTCTTCTCTGTCAGCTACCTCTATCAGTACGTAATCTTCCTCACTATTACAGTCCAATTTCAGATGCTCAGTCTTTAAAATTACATATACTGGAAAAGGCAAAAATCTGATTGAAATCAAACGCAGCTGTTTTATTTCTCAACAGTGACTGAGCTTATGCTGTTGTTACTGTTGTTACAGCATCTAAACGCTTTACGTTTTGGGGCTCCTTTTGTGCTATGCTATACACAAAGGGAGCACAAAAGTTGTTGTATCCATTACAGTTTGTAGAATAACAGGGCTTGATCCTGGATAGGGATGAGTGTTTTGGTTCCAAATCTGCAGAGCACTAGAGCATATGCTAATTTTAAGCATGTGAATAGTTCCAGCAACATAAATAATAGCATCAATGGAAATATTCACATGCTTAATGTTACACAAGGGCTGTAAATGCCTTGCAGTGTCTGCTGCCTCAGTGCTCAGCACTTTGCACCACTGAGACTTCAACGAATCTGATAAGATCTTTTTTGTGATACATTTCTCATGCTTTAGTCTCAGGATACTGTTTTGTTTCATTTCTCGTATTATGGGGTAGTATGTCGCATTTCAGTGGGTTTGTGGTCTTGAACTGTCCATAATTGCAGAAAAGACAGCTTCCAGTGTGGAGCCTTTTAGCCTGCAGAGTCACATGTCAGCAAATACTGTATTGCCAGTTTTTATTGTGTTTGTAATGTGCTATGAGTCCAATATCATATACACCTACTGTAGCAAAAATTCCCCCAGAAATATGGTTCCTGTTCCAAATAGGTGCCAATATGAAGCATTGAGCAGTGTGAAGATAAAGCAGTTTCACTGGCTGGTTTATTTACCATGAAAAGGTTTTGTTCTGCAGATACTTTCATTTGCAGCTGCTATTAATTATGACACTGTTTTACATCTAACAAACAGTGTGAACAGGATTCATTTCAGAAATGTCAACTCTTTGATGGATTTACTTGTTTTCATCTTTACGTACAAGCAGTAAAAAAACAATTTACAAAAATATAAAGAGTGCAGCAATGGTTCTAGTCTTGTTTGTTCTTTTACTTTTCAGCACCACCAAAGTTTCTTCAGCCATTTTTATCTGATAAGAACATGCCATCTGAACTAGAATACATGATCGTTTCCTTTGATGAGCCTCACGTGTATCTTCGTCAGTGGAACGATGAGTCAGTGTTCCAGGAGATGCAGTTTTCGACTCAAGCTGACTGTAAACTTCTGGAATGTCGAAATGTGACCATGCAAAGTGTTGTGAAACCTTTCAAAATCTGGGGGCAGATTGCTGTTTCCAGCGGCACAGCAGGAAGGCTGTTCGACTGCACGATGATGGTTGACCCTATTTCCATCAGCTTTGGCCAATATGCACTTCATTCTCTAAATACAGCAATTCAAGCTTGGCAACAGGTATGCAAAACACAATAATGAGAAAAAATATAGCTACTGTGATTAATTCAATAGCAAATTAGAATATCAACTGCTTTCATTAAAATATTTCAAGATGTAAAAGCCCTAACGTATACTGAATTTTTTTTTCCTAATTAGCATTAATTCTGTGATAGCAATGAAAATTAGGAAAAAAGTATGTAAGGGTGAATGTAGCCAGAATGGCCTGAATTTCACTGAAACTACATGGAATCATATCAGAATAATCAAAACTCTGGTCTTGAAATGCAAAATAATCTATTAATTCATTAAAAGGTGAGTGTCTTTTCATGATAAGTCAGCTCAGCTCAGTCTGAGCAACAGCACATATTGTTTCCAGCTACTACTTCCATCCTTATTGAAGTTCAACACTAGTTTCACGTTACATTCTGTGCAAGCAGCATTAATGGCTGAAGCCAGTCCCAGTATAAGAAACTTGCTTCTGCAATGACCCCTCAAAGGCCTGTAATTCCCTGACTTCACTATAGCCTTGAAATCAAATCATTCTCTTCATCTGCCTGAAGACCTATGTGGAGCCTGGGAATTAATTACCTATCATGGCACTACAATAACAAAGCCCCCAAAAAAGGATAAAACATCTGTTTTATATCAAAAAATTCTTTTTTAAGGGCATTCCATGGTTTTCTTGTTGCAAAAGGACATTCATAAAACAAGATCTAGTGTGATTTAAATCTTCACAGCTGGCTCAAATATCAATGTGAACAAAAATCTTTGTAGCTCCAATTTCTGTTTTTTGTCATATTTTGAACAATGCTTTTAATAAAAAACAAACATAGAAAGTATAAGAGAGTCCTTGTAGGCTGTTTAAACCCAAAATATTTCTGACTTAGTACTAGTCCCTCATCTAAGACATGTGTGGCAACTACTGCAAAATGGCCTTCAGAAAGGTCAGTTTCCTCTTAGGATGGGGGGAAAAAAGATCTCTCAGACATAGCTATACATATAAATAAAATATGGTGCATAAATATTTAAATGTTTTAAACCACATCACAGTGTGAATGACTGACTGACTACTCTGTGCCTTGAAGGAATATTTTGAGTTGAAAAAAATGGAATTGTATATTTGATTAAGTAGAGCCATATGTCGCATGGTATATTGCTGACAGGTACATTCTATGAATAGTTGGTACTGATTTATACATGGATTTGGCAATGTTAACATGAGCCACAGGAGGATATAATTCTGTAATTGTTGCTGTAATTTTCTCGTTTCCTCTCATGTCAGGGGTACTTGCCACCATGTTCTGATGTGGTGGGTATCTAGCCCAGAGTATTTGAGATTAAAAACTTGCATCGCTTTGAAATTAGGGAACAGTTAACACACAAGTGGGTTCAAAATAGCTTATTAAATTAATTGTTGCCAAGATGGTTTTTATGTGACTTTACCTCAGTTTGAGGGGGTTGGCATGCCCTGAACAGGGAGGGAATATGTTTCCCAATAATAAGCATTGTTTGATGTCTGCTGTTCACACAAAATGCAGTATAAAAGCTACAACTAGAAGCATGAATTTAATAACCAGGAAGGGTTATTTGAATTCTCCACATATTTTTTACTGGATTAAAATCTGCAACAAGTGATGTTGGAGTCAGTAGACAGACAGATGAAGCATGAAACAATTTGGCCATGCACCTTTAGGTCAGGAGTCCAGAATTAACAGAAGCCTCTGTCAGTGTCTTTGTTTCCTAGATATGGACTGATTTTTGTTGTTGTTGTTGTTGTTATTTTTTGTGGGTTTTTTTTTGTTGGTGGGTTTTTTTTAAATTAAGTAATGGCGAGCATTTTGAAAGTACATTAAGCCTAAAAAATACCAGGCTTTATACTTCTAAGTCACATGCTGAAAATCTGAGAGGATTAGCACTTTTTAAAAACAGTTTCCCCTTTTGACATATTTCACTGTCTAATCTGAAATCCCTGTTTAAGTACAAGCAGTAACTGACTAATGCACATCTAAATACAAAGCTAGAGTAATGGGTTTAATAATTAAAGACCTGGGCAAGGAACTTCAATATTGTTATTAATTTAGTTCTATAATTTAATAATAATACAGAAACTATCAAGTGAGATAGAAAATGCATGTTTCCTGTGAACATACATTGGTGGAGCGTGTGGTATTTTTTTCCCTTTATTTGGGCATTTAAGCCTTCATGAATTGTTTTACAGCCTTATTGTTTTGAGATATCTAGAGACAGAGGTCAGCTGAGACAAGAGCTCCCCAGGTGTGGTACAAAGTGTTATTTCTGGGAAAAAGCTTTTTCTTTGTGGTCTCACATAAACCAGGCATTGCAACTCTTTTCCCAAACTCCACAGAAATTAGAAAATCTCCTGTTTTAAACCTGTTTTACACCACTAGAACTTCTTTTCCTCAAGGTCTGCTGGGTGCTTAACCTTTCTGTTGGCAGTTGCATAAGTTTTTTTAATGAGCTGAGTCAGTCCAAATGCCATCTGTGATCGCAGTGGTTTCCCCATCTTTCTACAATAAGCACGAAGAACAAAGGGAAAAGGATACTGAAGGTTTCTAACTGATAATGCCAGGATATTGCTATGAGTGAAGTTTAAAGAACCCTAAGGAAAATGTTATTTTCTCTTAAAGAGCCTGCAAGGGAGACAAATTGCAAAAGACTTTCTTTGAAAAAAAAAACATTACTAGGTGATATTGTGTGTCTGTGTGGACATGAGAGGTGGAGAAAAAGCTTGCACAAGTCTTTGTTAGCTTGTGAAGCACAAAGAAAAAAAACTTTGTGCATATGAAGAGGCCTAGTCTTTTACGGTGTGGGTTTGAAATAGCTGTGAGATAAGACACAAGCAGAAAGTCCTGAGACTGAAAAGCCCTGGTGACTAGTATTATGTGGGATGTTTTCCCCCCTCTCTGAATAGAATTCACAAAATATTTGAAAGACCAATAAATGAGAGACACTTTCCAGGCCTCTCTGAGAGAAAATAACAGCTGAAAAATGATCTAAAGAGAGGCAGGAAATTGTCCCTCAGGAACTGACCCTAATCTGTATCTGATTCAAGCTGTTAATCTTTTGCTGATACTTTTGATTTGCTGTTTTAATTCAGAGAGGTTTTTTTTTTTTTTTTTCCTAATCCACACTTAGGTGTTTTCAGCTCCTGGAATCATCATTCAGCCCTTCAGCATCACTGCCACACAAATGGCCTGGTTCTATTTGGTTCTATTTGCCTGGTTTCTCTAGACATTCTTTTATCAATCAAGATGTCTTCACTCCATCCTTTTCATGTGTGTCCAGTGGATAGTTGCCACACTGAGCTAAAGCATCCTCAAGCTTCCTTGATGTTCCTTTAGTCATCTGTTGTTATTAAGACTCGAGGCATCAGTAGCTTTCTCTCAAGCCTGGCAGTACAGACCAATGCCCTGTCATGCAAATCTTGGTGTTTCCTTGGTTAAAATTTTGGAACTATTATAAAGTGGAACCTAAAATACCTCTTTCACTTAACTTTGAGAACTGTTGTTAAAAGAATTGAATCTAGTAGCAAATCTAGCTTTCAAGACTAATGATTAATGGCAGTCATTCATCAGCACTAAAATGTGTGCAAGTGTATTAATAATTCCTGATAGGATAACATTCCCCAAGCAGAAGTTAGAAGTTCTATGCATGCCAAAAACTCGCTGGATTCTCTTTTCCCTCTGGGAAATGCAAAAACCTACAGTTTGTATGTGCTTACTTGAAACTTAAGTTAGCTACTAAGGTAAAAAGAAGGAAGTTCATCATCTTATGACATTATTCTTTCAATCTCTGTGTATCAAGAACATGTATTGGAGTGAAAAGAAAAGGCTTTTCTTAAATTCCCCTGGGGTTGTGTATAGGTTTGACTCTTAACAACATGCTGAGCTCTATGAATAGTAAATCCTCCCATTTAAAAAGAACATTTTGCAAAGCTGTAACAGGAAAATACATATACTTGCGGTATACTTAAGGGTATGTGGGTATGGCAACTTGACAGTAAAAAGTCATAGATCCTCCACTGGAAAATGCCAAAATAAACTCTGCACTCACTGTAAATGTCAGCCTTTAGCACACTCAGATCTGCTACTGAATGTGATACAGACATACTGCTCTGTAAATCTTTTGCTGCTTGGAAGAGGTGCAGTTTTGGTTATGCTCACCTGGCTGCTGTTTCACAAAAGATACCTGATTTTATGCAGAAGGAAGAGATTTAGGAATAAGTTTTAATCTGAATATTCTCATGCTGAAATATTCCTAGGGTGTATGGTATTTGCACAAACACACCCAGGCAATCATTCTGACATTCAGTTACAAAAGGAATTACAACCTGCCTTGATTAAGGATAAAGAGGCAACAGACACAAACTGAAACACAGGAAGTTCCATCTGAGCATCATGAAAAACATCTTAACTGTGAGGGTGACCAGTCACTGGAACAGATTGCCCAGGGAGGTTGTGAAGTCTCCTTCTTTGGAGATATTTAACAGCTGCCTGTGTGGGATCCTGGGCAGCTTGCTCAGGTGAACCTGCTTTAACAGGGGCATTGGACTTGGTGGCCTCCAGAGATCCCTTCTAGCCCCAAACATCCTGTAGATTCACCTTAGGTTCTTCTGGAGACACCAGTAGTGAACATGCATTTAAGAATGCTAAACTGGGCATACCTTGCACACTTCAGTTCTCAGAGAAACTTCCATGTGCGTCACTCAGTAATGTGCTACAAGCAATGCACCAGACTGGTTTTCAAGGATAACTAAAGCTGCATAGGGATCTATCAGGAAATATTTCTCTCCCTGTTCTTTGAGCTCTGAATTTCTGCAGACTTCCAGGCACACTGTTATCAAAGAGCTAAGGGATCCATATGATTAGAGACAGGGAAGGTGCTAGCTTTGTAAGGTCCATATAAAAGGTCCACTGAGAGAGCAAGGAGGGGAAGCAGAATCAGCTCTCATAATCCATGGAGGTTCCATAAGTTAGAGAAAACATCATGGGAAGAAAGGATGAGTAGCTTAGCTGTGTTGTGAAGAGGGAAACCAACCAACAGAAAAATATTGTCATAACAGTGTGCTAGGAAAGATCGGCCAGTAAGAGGTAACAAAAACCACAAGAAGGTGAATATTTTGGGTTAGAACAGTTAAATTGCATAAAGACTATCCAAATGTTTGTTTCTTTGAATAATTGTTGCAGTTGCTAGATAGTTGCTTGTAAGTGGAAGGTGCCAGCCCACTAGGCTGGCACTAGGTGCCAGGTGACTAGGGCAGAAATATATGAGATGGTCTCCAAATCAAACTGTTAGTCACAATTTGACCTCTCCCATACAGGGGATTATAGCTTGTGCCTTCAGAGGTAGAAGACCTGTAGCTGTGGCAATTTTTATGATTGTCATATAGTCTCATTGTGCCAACAGAGTGCCAAGCAGCCAGACGAAAAGCAGCAAGAGAGGGATGCAAAGATGCTGAAGAAAAAATATTGTAAAATCTAAAATACTTTTTTTTCCTATTAAATGGCATGATACATGTTCAAACCAGCCTCATGGAGCTGTGAAAATACTCTACTCAATACTCTACTCTCCTTTTTTTCCTTTAGTTGTCTTTTCAAGTGATGTGGTATCATGAAAGAGGGAATCTTCTGCTGATCCACAGCAATATTTCAAAGTAGAAGCAGAGGCTGGGAAAGAGGAACTGTAAAACTGTTGGCCTGAGAGCTCAGTTGTCAAGCACTGAAAAACCTCTTCATGCCTCTCTGCTCAGCCCCTTGTACTCTGTCTGCCCTATGTAACATCATTTCCCACTGAATTTAATGTGGTTGAAGGTTTTTGCCCAAATTAGAAAACCTAATTTTATTGCAGTTTTAAATCTTTGAGGTTTGCATTACAGAAACATAAAGTAAAATATTTTAAGTCTTAGGATATATTTTGTCAACCCAGAAACTAGATTCTGCAGAGATTACTACGAGGCCAAAGCTAAGGAAAGAGATCTTGCATTTCTGTGTTGTAGCAGTCGCCACTGGGCAGGCAGCTGCCAAATGTCCTGCAACTGACATTGATTCTTCCTGGCTCTCATATCCCTTTCCTTTCAGAACCGATGCCCTGAGGCAGAGGAGTTTGTCTTCAGCCATTTCGTGATCTGCAATGACACCCAGGAGACGCTGAGGTTTGGCCAGGTGGATACTGATGAGAATATTTTGCTGGCTACTCTCCACAGTCACCAGTACAGCTGGCGCTCGCACAAGTGCCCCCAGGTATGGCAGAAACAGCCCTTCCAGGGCAGCCTTTGCTAAAGCTGGTGGTGCCTTCATGCACTGATTCTTTGGTTTTCTCGGTGGTCTCAACCATCTCTAAAGCTCCAGTTCCTTCAGGAGTCACACACTGGGGCTGCAACACAGAGAAAAGGTAAACAAAGTATGAGGAAAGCCAGAAGTCTTTAAAAGTTGCTCAAGGGTAGAACTGGATGTGCACTTTTTGTAAAACAAAGCAGTTGTGTGAAGCTTCTGAAAAAAGGAAAGACAACTTGCCAGGTTTCTGTAACTAAGCAATCCGTGTTTCCTGAGATGTACATTAGAGATTTGGGGAAATTTTTTTAACCAATTGTTTTTACCAGAAGCATCTGTTCACTGAAATTGTTTGCAGAACAGGGTCAAACTGGACAAAGTTCTCAACTTAGTGCTTCCCTTAAAAAAGATTTGAAATTGTCAGAAACACCCCACCTATATAGTTTAAATAATACAGTTTCTGGGTTTTTGGATTTTTTGTTTTAAGGATAAACACTGAAACTGAAATAAAATATTTTTAACTATCAACAGGAAGTACTTCAATGAAACTATAAAATCATTTAAGTTGGAAAGACCTTTAAAATCACTGAGTCCAACCCAATACTGCCAAGTCTACCATGTCCCTAAGTGCCACATCTTTTAAAGACTTTCAGGGATGGTGACTCAGCCATTCCCTGGGCAGTCTGTTCCAATGCTTGACAACCCTCACCATGAAGCAACTTTTCCTAATATCCAATCTAAACCTTCCTGGCATAACTTGAGGCCCATTTCTTTTTGTCCTGTTACTTGGGAGAGGAGACCAACACTTGGGAGGTAGTTAAAAAATAGACTTCTTGTCTTTATTCAAGACAGTATAAGAACTTAAATCTAATTTTAAAAGTATTTGTAAAACAGCAAATCTGTTTCTTCTCTTTTCTTAGTATATACCCAGCTCCTGCTGAGTATGAAACTACAGAGCTGTGCCACCCCATTTACTGAACAGTAGTCCTGCCCTGAAAAATCACTAAAATTTTAACAGATCCTAGGAGGAATGTAGTGAATAGGAGTTTCTAACTCCTCTAGAGGTCTTGGAAATACTACTCTTAGCATATGAGAAAAAAGGCAATTTTTGAATTGTAATTCTAAACACGAGTTGTGCCCACTTTCACTGCTGACAAGTTTCAAGTTACACTGGGAGGCAGAGATGGCAAATTTACTGTGGTTTTCATTCACATGTCAGCTGATGGATACGCAAAACTACTGAATTTTACATGAATGTGGTAATCTGTGCACAGCAAAATCTGCCAGAATAAACAATTGCAGTTGACACTGAAGTCAGGGCATAAGTTAAGAGGAAGCCAAACTCATAAAGGACCATCTTAGCCCAGCAACAGAGGAACTGTTATAAAAAGTGTGTGCTGGTGTAATAGTAACAGAGGTCTTTGGGGACTTCGAGACTCTGGAGTAGTGCATGTCCCTTTCCATGTTTTAAAAGAAGACATGTTTTCTCATACACACAAAACACCTGTGACACCCCATCCTACAGGTGACCAAACCAAGTGGTGACTGTGCTTTTTGCAGCTGGGCACGTGTCAGAGTCTGGGACAACATCCCCACTCATCAGGTGACACAGGATTACAGTTGTTGTAATTCCCCTTGGTTAACTAAGAAAGTTAACTAAGTGTAGCCTATAACTCATAACCAATTATCACTTGCATTTGTAGCAACCACCCAAAATTAGATTTAAACCTTTTCATAAATATGTGGAAGAAGAAGAAGGAAATATTTAAAGTAATGTAAATAAACCCAGAACTAAGTAAGGCTTTCCTCTTAAAAAGTTCTTGCATTCATTTTCTGGTTACTTACATAAAATTACTCGGTTGTGAGAATCCTCATTTTAGATAGATCTACTACAGGTGTAGTTCTGAGTATGGTGTGTATTCATTAATGGTTCAAACTGGAAGGAGTTTTAAAAATAAAGATTATCTCAAGCAAGTGAAAAGTTGAAGAACTAAAATAAAGGTCATTACTGATACTTCCTCTTAGTTGCAACTGAACTGCTAAAAACCACCATCAGAATAAATGGCATTAGACATCTAACACCTGGAAAACTTAAACTGTGCTTTCAGTCACACACTTGAGCAGTGCAAAATATTCCATTTTCATGGCTGCTGTGTAAGTTTCTTATTAAATTAAAAACAAAAGTGCAGGATGAAATGTGGAAAAGTCCATCAGAAGCCCAAAGCACTCATAAGGGAGTGAGGTGACAGTAGGAGCTTCAGATTCATTTTTCAAATATTCATTCTTCAGCTAACAGTTGGTGATGTCAAAGGGTTTCCCCATTCTGTTTTGCTCTGATCAAACTTAGATTCAGTGAAGAACTGGGCTGATAAAAAGTCAGGATTGTCATGATGGATTCCCATGTCCCAGGAGATGGCAAAGCTAACAGCTGACTCCTGACTCAGCCACACTGCTGGCCAGCAGGCTCTTCTAGCAGGGTGGTTCAACTTCCCTTGTCCCAACCTTTGGAATAATTTCAACATGATTTCTGCTCTCTTAACATTTTAAACAGCCATGTCTTGCTGGGAAATACAGAGATTAAAAAAACAGCACTGAGGTAATTTCACTGAAACTATATGGGAGCACAGGCTTTCTACACACAGTTGAGAAAGAAACAAATTTTCTTTACAAAAGTCTTGTAAAGAGAGAACCTTGGCATTCTCCTATAAGCCTATTCATTTGCCAATATGAGTTCACTGTAAATGCAGCATTCAGAATGGCAGTTCATCTAACCAGTACAATCCCTTGTCATTTGAAATAATAGAAAAAAAGTTTGTTTAAATGTTATTACAAATGTTGTCATGTACATTTTTTTAATGATTAATACAAATCCTTGAAATTAAAACAACAACTCAATCAAGACATCAGGTTGTCCCTTTTATACTGTGGCACTTTTCTAATTGTTTCCATGCAAAACTATCTAGCAGCTTGTTATCCAAAGGTCAGAAAAATGCCCAAGCAAGGACAAACCCTCTGAGTGTCATATTCATGGAATGCTAGATGACTTCATAGTTATGAAATTATTTCATTTCTCATGATAATTCCTGACTTGCCAAGTTAGTGAATTTTAAGAACTCTGAGAGCAGATTGTAAGATAAATGTGAAATAATCCATACTTCTGGAGTCAGGGACTTCCCTCCAGGCATTAGTTCATACTTGACTTACTTGACTTACTCTTGGGGATAAAATGAGTTAGGACAAGGTCTTAGATACCACATTCTCTTACTGGGAAAGAAAACCAACTTGCACAACTTTGGCTGGCTCATGTTTCTTGTTACACAGGCACTAAGAAGCAGCGGTTGCCATGAAATACTTTATTTAACCTCTGCAAAATGTTTTTTTAGTATGGCAAGGCAGTTCAGTTAAATGAAAATAAATAGTTTTAAAAGGATTGTATTTCTTCTACATTCACATCAATAAAATTCTCCATTTTTATTTTGCTAATTAAGAATAGAGATGCGGTAATTGACCATTTGAATTATTTAACACAATTAAATATATATAGACCTAAATTATATATTTTAATAGTGCTTTATTTACATTTTGAATTAATTTTATTATTAATGAAACCATAGGCTAAGATTTTTTTAATTTCAACTTTTTTATGTTACAAAAACAGCTACAGCACACCAAGGACTTGGATTTATCAGCTCTCAATGGTGTCCCTCCAACTGTTTGGCTTAACTTAAAGCTCCTTGCTTCCTTCATTTTTTCCTTGCCTGGATCCTTTACATTTCATGGAACCTAACCTTTCCCTTTTAACTTTCACTCTGATTCCTGCAAGTCTCGCTACTTTGGCTAAGATTTCAGTCATAAGTCCGAGGTCCGATGCTCACTCTTCTACACCGCTCCATCCCCCTACATTTTCCTCAGATTTCACGAGGTTTTGGCCCCCCTAAGGGATAAGACACCCCCAACTCTGTAGTCCCTTTCAGAGTTGGGGTAGGTCCAAAACTGATGGTATTTGAGGCTTTAAGCAGCTCTATCTAAAGCTGCCAGATTTTGTGAGTTCCTTCTGCAGATTTTAATGAAAGTTGGAGGTCTGTTAGACATCATTAAAAGGGAAGAGAAGATACATCATGCCTGTGCTCTACAGACAGCACTGGCCCCTACATTGTTATTGGATCAAGTCTGCACTCCTTATCTTGATCTTCACATTGTTTTGTGGGATGGGCCCCAGTTACATCAAAAGTCATGTTTGTCTCCAAGACAGCTGTGTTTTTTAGATGAACTGGAGCATATGATACATAGGGTGAAACTCTGAAGTTAGAAGAGATGTGATCTTCCTAGTAATTTACTCAGAGTTAAGGAATTCTGTCTTGCAAGACAGTAGGCAATTGGAGGGTCCCACTAGGGATCACAGCAAATGTAAAAACCAGATATCCATGAGAGTCCCCTGAATGTATTCTGCACAGATTGTTTGCTTATGAACAGACAGCAGAATTTGTCTGTAATGTGCTCGTTATTACTTGTTGTTTTCCCCACACTCAAACTTCAGCAGAGTCCTCTGAGGAAGTGCAGAATGATGGAATTAAGTTCATTTGTGTGCTTTCTATGCAAAACATAATGTTGCATAGTAGAAGTTTTTAGAAAGTAGCAGTTCTCAAACCTTTGTGTAGTCTCCTTCCAGGGTTACAGTAACAGTTACACATTATCACTTTTCATCATCTTTAACTTGAAGCAGCAGATATAACGGAAAAAAAAACAGTTGCTGTGTTGAATTGGGCAATGACTTCAATGAGAATGTGGGGATTAATAAAATATATTTATTTCTTATCAAAGTAAGTAAATATGCCTGAAACTGTGTCATTTTATTGCTACTTATATAGAATTTGAGGGAAAATATATCTATCATTTTTCTGATCATATGCTTTCAAAGCCTTGAGCAGATATTACTTCTGGTTAGTACATTATTAGTACCTTCACTGGAACACATTTAAAATTTTTCTTATTTTAAATAGTGTGTCTGTGAACACAAATTCTAAATTTTATAAGCATACTTTTTAAAGGCTACTGTAGTTTTACAAATAGCAAATTTGCTATATAAGAACTTCTTCCTTGTTCTACCAAAAAAAAGACTGGATCCACATTTTGATTCATGTCACAGCAGGATCACAATTCATTGTTATTTACTTCCAAGTTGCTGTTCTTTCAGATATTCAGTTATATCATGAAAAATTACATTAACTACTCTAGGTTCAAACTTAGAAACTGTAACAGCTATATCAGTTGTTATTGGGATATTTTCCCATTTTGCTGTTTAGTAGTGCTGCAAGTTCTCTGAACAATCTGTTGTACTTTACATAATCCTGCCCAGGTCATTAGAGAACAACATCAGGCAAAAAAGCTGTTTGTTATTTTATACTGTTCACACAGTGAGAAGAGTACTATTGTTTTTTCTGGGGGTCCTGCATTCTAAAGCAATGCTTATACTTTATTACATGTAATTGAATTTCTAGATAATATCTGGAGCAGGTAAGGATTAATATTATCCATGAACATTTATAATTTGGTTACTGTTCCTTAGCTAAAAGACTTTTCGGCAGTGTGTAGGGTGAGTTTGTACCTGTGAGGTTCAGGTCTGCTTTGCAGGTAATGTTGAGGTTCACAACATCTCCAGGAGCCCCCAGGGTCAGAGTTTATCTGCCAAGTGTGACCTTTTTTCTACTAGCCAGCATGGGGGTGATGGAAATTGCCTTTTCCGTGGTCTGTCCTACAAGGGCCAATGGCATAGAACTGGATGGTCTGTACTGGCTTTCAGTCCTACAAGGGCCAATGGCATAGAACTGGCCAGATCTCCCAGGTCACTTGAGAAAATGACACCAAAGTGAAGTTCAAGCTATTTTGGTGGCCACTGTGGCTGAGGGTGTGCAGAATAAATATTTCATTCACTGTTTTTCCAAATACTAGTTGGTTTTATTGTTGTGAATCCTAATCCTAGTCAAGAGCCTCTTTGTATTGTGAAAACACAGTAAAAAAAAAAAAAAATCAAACTTCCCCATTTAATTTTTCTGTTAGAAATTTCTTTAGTTTTGAGTCTTAGAATTCAGCTCCCATCTCCAGACCTACATTTCCTCTGTGCTGCTGCATTATCACAGCTTTTATTTTACTATCCTCAATCTTTTAAAATTACAACTGCTCCCCTACCATTTACCAGGTCCTCACCTGATTCTTCCCAAACTCTCAGAGTTCATAGCAATTACCCTTGTTGGCCCCAAAAAAACTTTTCCTAGTTTCACTTAGAAGACAAATACAATCTAAAGAATCTTGGTGAAACCAAGTTAAATCTGATGAATCTACAAGTAAATAGAAATCAAATTCGCATCACTAAGCATTTTGATGGCTCAAGCTTTAAATTACTTACACAGCTGGAAGTTGATGCCTTTTCTGGATAGGCTAAATTCTTAGTCTCACTTTTAATCCCCCCATTTTAGTCCTCATGCTTTGTCATATGACACACAGCTTTATTTACTCAGATCATATCCTTCACTCACACATCTAGCTGAAAACCTAAGTAAATTTTGAGGACCACATAGAAACATTCTGTGAAGAGACATGATAAAGACATTATTTTAAAGATAAAGTTTTCTAGCCATTTGCTCCAGTAAGAGCAGTTTTTCATCTTAATCTGCCTTCCTTCAATTAATTCCTATTTCTCTCAAAGCAGAAATCCATAATGGCTAAGAATCACAAATCCAAACCCCAGCCAAGTCTAGTCAAAGCAAAACTCGCTGGGTTATCTGCTGGTATATTTCCCCAACAGAAAATGCAGAAATCAAATATTTACAGGAATGAGTGCCTACCTTCACATATACAATAGATAGTCTGTTTAAATTCTCTCTATGCTACAAATTTTCATTTATCAGTGGATTGTATTTCTTAGAATGCTTTGAAGTCCCTTTTCTTGTACCTTAATGCAATGAATTCTCTTTTCTCCTAATACATGTCCCATACCTAGCTATATTCATTGAACTTTTTTGAACAGAGTGTCTAATAAATTCTGAGAATTAGCATAAAGCTTGATCAGTGAAAGAGTTAATGCCAATTATTGCAAATCTTTAGTATCAGGTCACTTTGATACCTGTTTGGTCACAGTGAGATGCAAATAAAACCAAGGTTCTGGCTTCGGTCCCTGTATGGGCCATTCACTTAAGAGCTGGACTTGATGATCCTTGTGAGTCCCTTCCAATTTAGAAAATTCTGTGAATCTGTAAATCTGTTTTCTGCTAAAATTATGCTAATGTCTGATAACTTAGTTCTCTAAAAGCACTGCCATTTTTTTATTTCCTGCCATATGTTTCTGCATCATTTAGTGTCATTTGCTGATTATTTCTAGCCACCTTCTCCAGAAATCTCACACTTAAATAATCATTCAGAGATCCTTTTTTTTTTGTTTTGTTTTCATGCAGTTTCTTGGCTCAAAAGCAAACTTACACAGCACTCAATTCTTATACTGTTAGGTCATTAATACAAATATATTAGATCTCTTTAAAGTCAATTATGAAGGCCATATCCTTTGCGTTTACCAGTATGCAAATTGTATGTTTGTAAAATAAGAAAATGCCAGTAGATTCTAATAGCTCTTCTTTATTTTTCTTTCTGATCTTGAAGTTAAATGCAGACTAATCACTACACAGAAAATTTGTAAGGCAGCGTTTGGGAGCTAATGACTGCTCAGGGAAAGCTGACAGCATGTTCCTTGGGAACATTCAACTCGTGAGCAAAGCTGTTTGTACAGGGTGGGAGACATCCTAGTGTTGTAGCTACATGTAATTACTAATTGTCAATTAGGGCATTTACATGGCGTCTATCTTTGGAGCACACAGTATTTTGTGGGCCTACTAGCTGAGACTGACCACTTAAGTACCTTTTCTCATTATTTGGCTGTCATTTCCAGCTACCATTCTCTCCAAAGTAAACAGTTTTCGTGTTTCTCCTAATTTTCATATGTGATGAGATTTATTCCCAGCTGCCTCTGTGAGAAACTGAACAGATTCCAGCCACTGCAATTGGATTTTTTTTGTTGTTTTCTTTTTCTTTTTCTTTAACTAATGCTTCAGAATTGAAGTGACATGTTTGTTTATGAGTTTGGCTATCCTATTGTACAGCCTCCCTCAACATAACCTTGAATACAAAGCTGTGCCCACACGTGTGCACATCCAGATGCCTTCCTTGCACACACGGGCACGTATCAGCCTTTGTGCTCCCAGCATAAAACTCATTTCAGTCTGAATGCAGCAGTCATCACTCTTGCAAATTCAAAAGCCACCCACTGAATGGATGTTATTGTTCTGTGTGTAACTTGTGCTGAGGATACCACAAATTGCAAACAGGCTACTGAGTTGTAATATCTTTGAAAGTTATTGCTGTGGTTGTTTCTTAAAACAATGTAGGAAACCCCAACATCCAGCCCTTCACTAAGTCCAACTGACCAGGCCCATGGTGAGTGCTATCTCTTTCTGGAACCAAATCATGGAAGAACACAGTATCTACAAGTTTCAGTTTTTGCTAGTGTAAATAATCGATCTTTGGGCCTGATCCTGTTCTCAATTACTTAAATTAATTAATGACAGATGTCCAAAATCAGAGTGAAATTCAACCCTCAAGAGAGAACTCCCACAAGGCCTTCATATGACTGTTTTAAAGAACTTAAGTGATGCTTAGGCTCTGTGCTGGCCCTCTGCAAAGAATAAATTTTACCCAGAATGCTTATTGCTTTGATCCCTTATATATAACTCACATCCTTAAGTTTGCACAGCCACAAAAGATCTATACAGAGCTAAATAGCCAGATCTTCAGCTGGTGTAAATTTATGTAACTTCATTGACCTACATGGAACAGTACCAATTTTCACTACTCTGGCTTAAAGAATCTCCATGGGACAGAGGTAAGTGCGTATGGTGGGTAAATGGATGAAAGGCTCTTCAAATGATGAAAGACTATATTGCTCTGGAAGTGATTTAAGTTAAACTGGAAAAAAGCCACTCCTTTTCCGGAATAAATCACATAGGGAGTATAATTACGCAGTTAAATTTCTTCTCATGCAGTCAAGCTTGAACTTACCACCACATTTGTGTAAGAAATGAAATGTTTCCCATCTCTCAGCAATATACCACATTCTACATTTAACAGACACATATATGCAAGCTATACAAGTCCTTCTTTATTTTTGAAGGGAAGGGTATTTGTAATTTTCTGTCTTATTCTGAAGGCAAAAAATCTGGCATGGACCTGTGTTCCGTATCACCTTGCTGGTAATAGAATGGGCTTCTAGAACAATTTCAAAGGCATTGAAGAAAATCTCTTATTTCCTGTTTTATACTCTCTAGTCTACTTCCCCTTTTTTTTTTTTTGTGAACAGTTGTGTGCCTGGATGTTAAACATTCTGTTAAAGCAGGTAATTTATAGAAATGCATGATTCAGAGCCATTTCATGGTATTGTTACTTCTTCTGATTGTGTCTGAAATCACAGAATTACAGACTGAATGGATCATTCAGACAACTGGTGTGCTTAGCATTGCTGAGATTTCAAACCAAGAATATTTCTCTGTCATGGGAATTTATATCCTACTGCAAGGCACTTTTTCTTCCTGGTTATGTATTGAAGTAGTAATTTCTTTCTTTCCAGCTGTTACACATCTGTATTGAAGGCTGGGGAAACTGGCGGTGGTCTGAGCCATTCAGTGTGGACAATACCGGGACCTTCATTCGCACCATTCAGTACAAGGGCCGGACAGCATCACTTATTATCAAGGTTCAGCAGCTCAGTGGAGTGCAGAAGCAAGTAAGGATTTGATCCAGTTAGGAAAAAATAACATGAGTAATTTAAACTGTTGCCTGTTCATGAATTAGTCACTTTGTTATTTATTCTCTCCTACTGGGATCTGCAAAAAACAAGTATAGCACTCTTTTGGGGCTATTTTGGGGAATTTTTACAACATTTTTCTTCACTTTGGTGTCAATCTTAGCATTTAAAAGCTCAGTTACCAACATGTATTTTATATGCTCCAGTAAACATCTCTTTGCATGGTTCATAAGTTCTGACAGTGCTAAGTTACATAATCTTTTACATGTTTTAAGCTCTTGAGAAACAGATTTTTCTCTTAATTTTTTTTAAGAAACTCTTCATAATGTATTCTGGGTAGTAGTTCAGACCTACATATTTTTTAAGTGAAAGAATTACCAAATTAACATTTGTAAATCAGCTGCTGTGCAGTAACTTTCCCTTCACTGTCTTTGTAAAGTGACGTGTAATAACACTGCAGCCATTCTGCCTGCATTGGCAGAAGCCAGAGCATGAGGTGGACAGGACATGCTCAGCTCATGGATGTGGCAGAGCTGTACTGCACAACAACAGCACAGCTGACCAGACAGGAGCAGTGCCTGGGGTCACTGAAAGCCCTGCTGAGATTTCACATGGTGGGCTGTAGCTGTGCTGTGTGCCCCCATTCATGAAAAAAGAAATTATGATGGTTGTAAAGGGGGGGATACACGTGGAATGGTGTTCCCTGGTTTAGCTCGGAAAAATTCAGATACATCTCTACAGTAAACAATTCATGCATGATGGACAGCAACAACGCCAAGTCTAATCTGGTCATTTTCTAGGTGTGTGCACTTAAATACAGAAACACGTTACAGTAATTTAATAAAATGATAAGCTTTAAAATGGCAGACATACTGTGAAAGCTCTGGATCATTGGCTTGGGATGGGAATGTGAGGTATCCATAGAAACCTGTCTGAAGTGCATCCCTGTGACTGCTCAGAAATGTCTCAACATGGAGGCCATCACAGAACTCTTAAAATCCAAACCAGAACTGTCAGCCATGGGCAGTACTGTCGAGTTCAGTGGGAAGGAAAGTGGATACATGTTTCTTTCAAGCATGGATACTGCCTTTGCAATATTTCAAGCATTTTAATGCCTAGATTTCTATGAAATTGGACATACATTTGGCCAATAAAAATAATGTTTTACCAGTCACTGCCTTCAGCAGTGCTTGGGGAAACTTAAAGCATGGAGATTATTCTTCTACAGGTTTTCACTCTCTAATTCAATTTTGACTTTTTTTTCCCAATTGTTTACATAAGAGCTGTATTTCTTGTGTGTTTTAGATCCTAATCTGTGGAAGACAGACAGTCTGTAGTTACCTTTCTGAAAGTATTGAACTGAAAGTGGTTCAGCATTACATTAGTCAAGATGGACAGGCTGTTGTTAAAGAACACATCAACTGCCTTGCAGCCAAGCAGAAATTGCCTTCGTATATCCTAGAAAACAATGAGCTCACTGAGCTGAGCGTGAAATCTACAGGAGATGAAGACTGGTCCCAAGATGTATGTCTAAGTTCAAAACAGACAGAACACAGCACTGTCATTCAGGTATGATGAGAAATGGGTATGTGGAACAGAGCATTAAAAATGTCTGAGAGAACTGAGCACTTCACATTTAGACTTCTGTTTGATATAATGAAATAGTGAATGTTGTCATCCTGACATAATGTTAGTGTAATGTTGATCTTTCTGCAAACAGGTACCATCTTCAAAGAGTTCAATTACATATGTGTGGTGCACAGTTTTGACTTTAGAGCCCAATTCACATGTGCAACAGCGATTAGTAAGTACATTTAATGTTTCTGAAATCTAAATGTTCATGCCTTATGTCTCATATAATAAATTAAGGTCAGAATGACCCACTGTAAAGATTTATTAATAGTTTTTTCAACTGTTGTAATACTGAAATAAAATTTGCTTTAAATTGCTGTATTTTTTTCTGTTTTGTAGATTGTTTTCAGCCCTCTTTTCATTGTAAGGAGCCATCTTCCAGACCCTATTATCTTACATATAGAGAAAAGAAGCCTGGGATTGAATGAAACACAAGTGATTCCAGGGAAAGGACAGGAGAAAGCACTGCAAAATATAGAACCTGATCTTACACACCACCTGACTTTTCAAGCCCGGTAAAATACTTATTTTCCTTGAATATGGTTCATTTGTATGGAAAAGAAAGAATAATTTACACTTGAACTTCTGCATTTTTTTCTAAAAGTATGCCATGCCCAGAGGGGATATGACTGAACAAGCATATGTAGCTGAAATTATATTGGAGGAAATATTAAATTTGGTGTAACTATCCTAAGCACACTGGCATTTGTTTAATTCAGCAGTTCATATTCTTGTGTTTTAAAAAATAAATTCCCTGAATTATCTTGAAATGTTTTTTTGAGAATGCTGAAGAGTTTTTAGGGTCATTACAGGGTCATAACAAATCCATACATGTCAGTAAATTCTCAGGAACTTGTTGGACATCGTAACTTGATTCATCCACAATTACCATGAGAGTATTCTTGCTGCAGAGTCCACTTGGGAAGCCTCATTAGAGAAAATATTAATGCTAATGCTTGATCTTGTGTAAGTGACTGAGTCTGTTTTCAATGACAGGGAAGAAGATGATCCATCTGAGTGTGCAGTCCCTATCTCAACCACTCTGATTAAACAGATAGCCACTAAATCCAACCCGGGTGGCAGCGTCAGCCAAGTGCTCTCCGAGTTCTATGGCATTGCCAGTCCTCCCCAGCCTGCATGGCCTTACAATAGGAAGGATTCAGACAGGTAATTCCTTGCTAAACCTTCTTCATGACTTCATGACATGCAATTTGCATTGCCTTTCCAAATAAACTGAAACCACATTCTGGAAGACTATATGTGATAAACATTGAATGTATTTTCAGCAGTTACATAATTCCTGCATGTAAACTACAGAATCTGTGGCAAGTGGGAAAAAAATTAGGTCAGCCTGATGGCTGCCCTTGTTTATACTGAGAAGATTGCATCAATATGGATTTTTTAAAAATGGAACCATTTTTTTGTGAATGCACTTTCTTTACTGCAGCTCTAGAGGCTGTTGTTTATTCAGCTGCTGTTTGTTTCAATAGAAAAACAGGGAGTTGCTGTAGAAGTAGTCGTGGGGGAAACAAAAAGGAAATGTGATTTGATGACTATAAAAGTCACAGGTTTAGCTCTGAAGGACAGTGGTAACTTTGTTAAGGCATTTATTAATTGACTAAATTCAGGCAGAACTTGTGGAGTTAAAACTACACCTTTATAGCCTACACCTATCTAGATCTTTGTGACAGCACCTCGATGTGTTCCAGAATGATAAGGTAAGAAGAGAAGTTTTTCTATCTCACAACCAGAAAAGCCTTGCAAATTTCTGAAAAAGACACCTGAGCATTTGTAATCTTGAATTCATTATTCATCCTTTGACTTTAAGTTTTGGCTTATTTGTTTTTGACAGCAATGAACAGCTCTCCCAATGGGATAGTCCAATGCGGGTAAAGCTGTCAGTGTGGAAACCCTATGTTAGAACTCTGCTGATTGAACTCCTGCCCTGGGCTTTGCTCATCAATCAGTCCAAGTGGGACCTCTGGCTGTTTGAAGGAGAGAAGATTCTTCTTCAAGTACCTAGTGGGAAAGTAATTATACCTCCCAACTTCGAGGTAACTATGCCATTCACATTAGCAGGCACAGGTCTGCTAAACACACTGGTTCTCAAGAATTGTTATTACTCCAGATGATTCCCACTTTCCAATTACTGTGTCTGTTTGTCTGCTAGTCATGATGAAGAGTAGCAATAACAATAGGAATTCACCACACTGATTGAGTCACCTAGTGGGTAGCACAACATACTTGATAGCAGTGTTAGAAAAACAACATCCTAAAAATGCATAGTTAAAAATTTTCCATAACACCCTGTAGGAAGAAGGCCATCATTCCATCAACAGCCTTTTCCCCTTCCTCTCAGTTCAGCCAAAGAATCTGCAACATGGGTATAAGGTAGCAGTCCACAAAAATTGCTATAAAGGCCAAGTAAAGACTTTGTGTAAACGTGTCACTTGAAAAATTGTTGACCACAGTAGCAAAATTGACAGCCTGAAAGGAATATTTGGTTTGAGAGCGTTTTATATTATTTCATAGTTTTTAATGTTACCAAGAAAAGTTGATAATCACACAGAATGAATTACAATAGAGGAAGATTTTATTTAGAATGCCTGCCTTCCTTAATTCAGTGTAACAGGTCTTCCCACATATCTTGGCCATGCACATTATTTTTTATTATTATATTCTTTCATTTCTAAATAATTAAGGTGATTTGACACAGCAGCTTGTTAATTCCAGTTGAGCAATCTGATAGTTCCTGTTTATTCTGTCATCTTTCCCCCCCCATATATGTCTGTTAATAAACAAAAGGTCTGCCTAGTAACACACCTCAGTGCAGACTACAGCTTTGATCCCCTGTGAGGATCAGTTCCTTATCCACCTTGTGGTTTCATCTATTCTTGTCCCACATAGAAAGAATCAGAGAGAGAAAGGCAGGAAATTGTATTCACTGCCTACTGGAAACTGCATTTAGATCTGCAGTAGAAATGTATCAAATTGTGAACAACTGACAATCCATCATTTTTTCACTTGCAGGAAGCTTTTCAGGTTGGAATATACTGGGCAAACACTAATACTGTGCACAAATCAGTGGCAATTAAACTGGTTCATAATGTGACCTCCCCAAAATGGAAGGATGCTGATAATGGGGAAGTAGTAACACTGGATGAAGAAGGTTTTGTTGAAGCTGAAATTAAACTTGGTGCTTTTCCAGGTCATCAAAAGGTTAGAAGAAAATTATAATGATTTGTAACTTTATCATGTAAAAACAAAGTCATATAGCAGATAAAACAATCAAATGTATGCAGTGTGAAAGCTTCTCCCTAATTATGTTAATATATGTCCAACATAAAGAGAGTATAAACAATGTATGAAATATAATTTGAAGAATTAGATTGCCAAAAACATACTGTGCAACCCGTAAAGATAATACAATATATCCTGGAGAAAGAATTAATGAATTTTCAATCTTGTTTGGATAACATTGACAGATGCAACTTCAAAAGTACATGATGTGGCTCCAGTTACGAAGTGCATGAATATAGAGAGGATTTCTTTGATTAGAAAGAGAGCAGCACTTGTATTGCAACATTTCACTACCTTTTGTGGTTTTGTGTGACTTCATCACTATTTTCATTTCATCGCAATTTCATTTTCTTACAGTTGTGTGAATTCTGTATTTCTTCCATGGTTCGACAAGGTATACAAATTCTACAGATAGAAGATAAGACAACAATAATCAATGATACGTCATATCAAATCTATTATAGGCCACAGCTTGTTATTTCCAAATCCCACTCAGGAGAAGAGGTAAAGCACTGTAGATACTGTTTTTGTTTGTCATCTGTGGAAAATGGTTGTTTATATCTGTAGCTGTATTTAGATAAGCTGCATATAGCAGGGCTCGGAACCGCAATCTTGAGACATAATAATCATAAAGTAATTTATATCATTTAGAATACTGAATCCTGGGTAAATGCAACTCCAGTAATTAACTGTGCTCAGAAATCTGTACAAGCAGCAAATTCTTGCACATTGCAGAATTAGTTCTGCCTGTTCTCCATCTGTTCAGGCACTAATGGCCATTTCAGTAAAATAGGCAGCGTAATCCGTAGTAGCTGTTGAAAATGTTCTCAGAATTTTTACTGAGTTTGTGTGTAATAGAGGTATATTGGCCTGGCAGGCTGAAAACTTTTTGTTATCCTTTTGGGAAGATTCCAGTTATCTGAGTAAAGCTGCAGAACTAGAGATGTGCCCAAAGTTTATGTATTTCATAGACTGCATCAAATTGTGAATATCAGTTTTCTAATAATCTCACAGAATATTTAAGGACTATCTTGCAGGAACTAAAATGTATGCATGGTCAATATATTTTAATCAACCATTTATACATATTTATTGAGGATTACATTTATAGTAAAATATGTGGAAAGAATTCTTAGGGTCCAGCTTAATAGAAGAGCTGGCAGATGAACGAATTTTTAAAGTTCCTGTTTCTGTATTGTTTTCCTTCTGCTTTAGTTTTCTTCACATCAGTATCTACAATTGTGCATCACACATTTTGTGGCAATCTAAATATAGGGAATTGGGAGAATGCTGATGTTAGAATCCATTCTTATTTTTGTAACCCTAAATGGATTTTGTTCACACATTTGTGTAACAGGAATGTAACTTGATTTTAGAGCTATGTTGCGCTACTGAGAGCACAGAACTATAGAATCACAGAAAGGCTTGGGTTAAAAGAGACCTTAAAGATCATCCAGTTCCAAACCCCTCAGCATGGGCAGAGATAGACATGTTCCGCTAGAGCCGGCTGCACAGATAGCTGTGCTACAAACCTATGCCCTGAGACAGATTTGGCCAAGTGGCCTTTAATGCAGCGCACTTAGTGCAACCTTTAGTCAGTCGTGGTCATCGGCTACTTGAGAGTGTGCAAAATCAACGTGAATAAACCTCCTTTTAAGAGCCAGCATGCCGTGCTACCACCCCCTTTTTCGTTTCCAGGACTTCCAGTGCCCCGAGAGCGCGGTGTTCAGCCTGGGCCCGGCCGGGGCGGGCAGCAGCGAGGCGCTGGGCGCCGTGCCCTGCTGGGACCTGCTGTGGGAGCCGGGGGCCTCGGCGGCGGGGCCGTGCCTGGGGCACCGGCGGCTGCTGCTGGCCTTGGGCAGCGCCGGGGCCCGGCCGGCGTGGAGCCTGCCCGCCGCCGTCAGCGCCGAGCTGGCCCGGCAGAGCGTGGCCGTGCCCGCGGCAGCGCCGGCCCGGAGCGGATTGTGCACCAGGTATGCGCGCTCTGCAGCGCGGAGCTGGGCTTGCTGCTGCCGAGCCTCAGCTGGTCAGAAACAGTAAGAGAGTAATGCCAAATCAATGTAACACATGCCCCCCATATGGAAAGGCAAGTCGTACTTTAATTTAAAAATCTCCTGATGCTTTTGATGCCTTTATTGTAAAGGGTTTAGTGATATGACTGTGTACCTGCTATTTTTTTCTGTGCATGCAAAGAAGAGCATGAAAAGCTTATATTGGGGAATTAAGGTTTTGGGTTTTTGTTTTTTTTTTTTTATTTTGTGAACAACAAGAAAAGAGTTCAAGGACAGTGTGTAATAATACAATACAAAAATTTAGGTTTTATTTATAAAAGGTAGACGTGTATTTTTGTAAACATAATAAGAGGATAAAGAAGAAAAGACAAAAGGGATGAAACTATTTTGAGATTAGGAAAAATTTCAAATTTTAAAGCTTGAACTGTGCAGTTGTACATTCTATTTACAAACTTATGGAACCAGCTAGTTAAAAATAGCAGTCCAGTGACATGTCAGATGAGCAGCTTCGTTTCTTGAACCTGATATCTGAATCTATTCATGCTTATGCTGGTATGAACAAGAAACAATCTGCTGAAATTAGAGAAGCTACATCAGTATATATCACCAGAGATGTGATCTTTCTCTTCCCTGAAGTACTTGATATTATTCAAACCCTCACACAGTTCCTCTGCAGAGTCCAAGAGGTGTCATTTTGGATACTAAAGATTCTCACACAGACTTCAGATTTAAAAAAAAAATTGATGGAAACAATAAAGGAAGGATTCCTTATCATTCTGACACAGGCATAGAGAATCCAATGTTCCTTATCAGATTTTTCAGACTTTGGACTTTTTAAAATCACCACGAGGTATGGGTTTTTTAACAATAGTCAATTAATTTGCTCAGGAGAAAAAAAAAAGAATGTATGTTTATGCATGAAGATATTTTACATAGCTAATAAGTAGAACTAAATTCATTTAATCTCATTTTGGAAATCAATGTAGTGATGATCCATAACAGTAACATTTAAAAGAGCAATAGCAGTGTGGATCATTCCAGGGGAGCAGTCAGTTAGATTTACCTATTTGTTCAAATACCTTTCATGTATACCAGAGAAGTATCCATGCAAATTCTTCTGGAAAATTTTAAAGATTTATGTTGGAAATTTGGGCCTACAATCTCATGTTTTTAATTTAATATAAATCTCTGCTGGCTAGGACTCTCATCTTGTAGACACACATGTTCAGTTTAACTCATGAGTACTCTCCATGAAGCAATTTCTTCTCTCATGTTTTTAGGCTATTTCCATGTGTTCTTATGTTGAAGTAGAGATGTGTACTTGCCTAAATGTAGATAAATGTCTATGGACCTGGAACTTGATAATAAAGAATCTTACAGATGCTAGTTTTGAATGTTTTTAATTGTTCAGAGTAATCATATGTAAAGATTTCATCCAAAACAGGCATAATCCAATATATCTGCTTCTGTTTTAGAGCTATAGCTCTGACTTATCAAGAGCATCTTGGTGTGACATACCTAACACTTACAGAAGATCCTAGTCCTCGTATAATTATCCACAACAGGTGCTCCGTTCCATTGCTTGTAAAAGAGAATTTCAAAGGTAGGTACTATGCAATAATTAGAAACAGTGCACTGCTGTAGTGTAACTTATTTTACTGACTCTCCAGTCCAAAATTGAGTTCAGTGGGTGTTTTGGTTATAGCAAGAATTTGATGCCCTCATGAAGGTCTGTCTCAAAGTGAGAGGCTCTGGAAGCTGTTGGAGCTAATTGTGAGGTCAGGAGTATGAACTTAAATATTTGTCTCTGGGCCTTTGGGTCTCCCTGGTTCCAGCTGTCAAGGTGACCCAGCTGTAGGAAATCCAGAGGCAGTGGAGTTTTGCTGACATCAGTTCAATCCCATGGAACACTTCTATTTCCTCAGATTTGCAAATGTAGCAAAACATATTGGCAAAATTCTGGTTACAGTAAATTAATGTAATGATCAGCAGAATATTATATCTGTAAAACTTTATGAAATAAAAAAAGGGAAAAACCCAAACATATAATATTCTAAGTAATAGAAAAGCAATGTTTTTATTTATTAGGTATATTTCAGACAGAAACTTTCTAATTTGAGCAAGCATAGATGAGTTTTGATTTCATACAGGTTTTAGAAGGCTCTGATCTTGTATATTTTATAACATTTCAGAAACACCCAAGTTTGAAGTTTACTGTAGAAAGATTCCAGCTGAATCTTCGGTTCATCATGAACTTTACCATCAAATCTCCAGCTATCCAGACTGCAAAACAAGAGATTTACTGCCCAGTATTCTCCTGAAAGTGGTGTCATCTGATGAATTAGTAAACGAATGGAGTGATGTTGTGGACATCAACAACCAAGGAACACAAGTAAATAATTTTAAATTACTTCCTAATTCTCACCATAAATGGTTGTCTTTCTGACCTGTACAGTGCATTGTTCCTCTGCAATAAGTGTATCCTTTCTGTTGGTATTTAACTCCTGGGAACTCTCCTGCCTAACTAAGCCCCTTCCTGTGGAAGTTTTAGAACACAAACCATCTTCTTTACTGTCTCTTTTTGAAGATAGCTAGATTGAACGTAGAGGCTTTATAACACTGATTTATTTCACTTTTTAATGAGCCTGGTATTGCCTGGAAAAATCAGTCTTGAAAATTTCTGGGCTCTGTAAGCCAAGAATGCCACAGGATCCAGAAAAATTTGGTGACTTAATTATCACGGGACAATTATAATAATATATTGTAGGAATCATCACAGTCATTTTCCCTCTGTGTCTTCACAGAAGCTACTCATGTCTTTCTAAAACAAAACAACCCCTCCCTTTTCTTTCCTTCTGTTATTTTTCTCTGGATCTTGAGGTAAATGAAAGCTTCCTTGACTGGAGTAATTCTTTTTGATGGGAATTTTTTCCATCTTTGAAGTCATTAGTTTACATGGAATCAACATAAACTGCTTGGCTCTTTGAAAGAAATACTAGTTTCAGATGTTTTCCCTGGGCACAAATCACAAAATGCTCTTGATTATTGAGTGTTATGTTATATAGCAAGTAGTTCAGTTCCATTCAGCAAGCCAGTCAAGCAATGCAGGGTTTCAAATTTCAGTCATTAATGTTATGCCAGACCAGGGTTCTTTATAAGTATCTGGCTCCTAGAAGGAATTAGATGCTAAGACAACATTTGGGGATCATTGTCTACTTGAACAGCTCTCCAAAAAAGTATAGCCTTCTGTTATTGAAGCTTTAGGATGTACATGTTGAAAATTTTCCCAGGATTTCTAAGTCTGTCTTTCTCTTTGAAAACTATGAATATAAGTGAATAAGGAATATACTAATAGTGTCACATACAATTCAGTTCAGGTTGTGAAATAAATGGGATTTAAAGGATCTTAGGTAATTTGTATTTCTTCTATGTGGTCACAGATAGGTACTTCTTTTTCTATTAGAAAGTAAATTTAAAATTATTTAAAACTAATAACTTAATAAATAATGAAGTATTTATCATCAGAATAATCTAAAATTGGAATTAAAAATTACCAATTTTCAATTGGTAATCAGTGGAGGTTTATTTAGAATAATTAGAGTTTTGAAAATTCTGTACATGTCCTTTTTTCTCCAATTCCATGTAGGATTGTGAATCTCTTCCAGACAAGCAAAGGATTAAAACTGACATATCCAAATTGGAAATTCTCTTATATGTAATTGTCAGAAGAATAAGAAATTTGATTAATGAAACTTAATTATCTGTACAAAGTTATTATGAATAGCCTAAAAATCAGTTTAAGTGCTGATCCTACTAAACATCTAATTGTTTTTGCTTCTGGTGACTTAACAGCAGTAAAGACTCTTCAAGACAAATACCTGTTTATTTTACCTGTGCCAACCCTATATCTTTGTGTTATTTCTCAAGTTTGCATTCCATTATATTATAGCTTCTGTCACTGCAATTTAGTGAACAATTGTGTTGATAGTAACCTTTCAAAAAAAGAGAAGCCAGCTTGCTCTAACAAGGACTGCTGTGAATTTTCCAAACCTTTAAAAGATCTTTATCTTTTATATTCTGGAGAAACACTAAACTTGCATGAAAATATTGCAGAATTAAGCTCCAAAGGCAGTACATCACTTCGCTTAAGTAGGATATTCCTAAAGACAACTTGTCCAGAATGAAAGTTTGTTCACCTGTAAGCAAGACATAAACCTGTTATCAAATTCCATTTTTCCTGCCTTTTTAGTTGCTTTTTGCTTTCCAATAGATTTTTTTTGCCATTTTCTTGTGCTGGCACCTTGCCTGTGTAGGTGTTCTCACAAACCAGCCTCAAAAGCAGTACATCACTTCTCTTAAGTAGGATATTCCTAAAGACAACTTGTCCAGAATGAAAGTTTGTTCACCTGTAAGCAAGACATAAACCTGTTATCAAATTCCATTTTTCCTGCCTTTTTAGTTGCTTTTTGCTTTCCAATAGATTTTTTTGCCATTTTCTTGTGCTGGCACCTTGCCTGTGTAGGTGTTCTCACAAACCAGTTTAAATGACTTAATAATGGCTTCAGTCTTGAGTTGTTAATGCAAGTTTTCATGTATCCAAAATGTTAATTACTTTTCAGTCTTCTTGTGTTTTACATGATGCTATCAGCCATTCATCCACCCAGCTCTGAGCTAGGGCATAGCAACATAATGTTAGTTTAGGGTTTGTTTTCTAGAGAAAGTGGGATTTTTTAGAGCTCCAGGAAAATGCCTTTCTGCTAAATACAAAATTAAAAATTTTTTTTAAAAATTAAAAATTTAAAATTTCCTCTTTATTCTTGTCATATAAACTCTACCTTCCCCAGCACGTCTTGCTTTTTTTTTCTGGAGAAGTGTCCTATTAAAATGTATTAAGTTATGCAGTTGAATGATGAGATGCAAATTTCATCTCCCTGAATAAGTGAAATACTTAAAGTATCAGAGCAGTTATTTTCTGAATCACTGAAATCTGACTTTTTTCCTGAATAGTATCCTGATTTGAGTAGAAGATCTCAACCAGAAGGCATTAATCACATTAATTTAATTTGTGACATTAAAAACAGTGATTTTGGTTACTTTCCACGTGTTTTTAACCCTCTCCTTTAGATTGTGTTCTTAACTGGCTTTGGCTGTGTTTATGTGGACATCACCCATCACTGTGGAACAATAGTCATAACCTTGGCCCCAGAAGGAAGAGCAGGACCTGCTGGTATCAACCTCAACAGGTACATAAAGCACATAAAAGATTATTAAAAGCATTGCTGGGAGCTCAGTCAGCTTTCTAAGTGTTAACTGACTTAGAAACTTTAACTTAACTGTTTGTTTTGTTTAATACTGCTGCCTGCTCTGTAGCATATGTTTAGACCATATGGCTTTGTATATCAGAGTAAAAAAGGACAATCTAACATCAAATGTCATGTCACTTTAGGGTAAACATTAGATGACTGGTACAAAAAGAGGATCTCAGTTGTTCATTTAAAGAAAAAAAAAGACATTTTTCATCATAATTAATTTTGAGTGTGTTCATCAGTTTAAAATGTATTTAGCCAGGTCCTGCCATCTGTAATCTTACAAGCTCCCAAAGATTTAATATGCAAGAGCTGTAGAAATAACCTTACAGTTAGTAATTAATCATGCTTGATTATAACACCCTTCTTTAGAAGATTTCCCCACTTCCATAATACACCACAATCTGGTCCTCAGCTTCATTCAAGTGCAATTATAATACTACTTCTTTTTAAGCTCCAGAGTGCTCAGCAATCCTGTTACAATTCGAGTGGAATTTGTTGTGCTGTTTTTATTTGCAGTGTAATTAGGTATTAATCCCCAAGCCACTGGTCATCAGCAGTACCTGGCAGTCCATTTGCTAGTGAAACTTTGCAGTGGGCAGTTTACATTGCAGGGGGAGGCCCTCAATGCCATCAGTAATGCCTTCACTGGAGGGCACTCGCTGTGTGTGATGTGAAATGATTATCTCCAATAGTAACCTTCAGTGAAACATCTGAGCTGTACATGAAGCATCAGAAAATTGTATTTGTGGTGTTTTTTAATATCTGTCTCTGTAAAGTGTAATAGGGGAATTACTGTGTAGAGATGCTCCTGTCCAAACTATCCTGTTGCATGATAAAAAGAACAACCCTGGTATAGATACATACTGTCCTGTTTCTTAGAAGACCTCCTGGGTGCTACTCACCAGTAGTGATTAAGGTTGCCAAATCCCAGTAATGTTAGCAGGACTTGCACAATGAGTTTCCCACATATTGTAGAGAATGTCTCTCTTTGAGCAAGCAAGATGCCAGGTGAGCTCAAAGGCAGGAAGTAATAAAACTTGTTTTCCTTCCTGTCTAGAAGTCAAGAGCAGACCCTGTCACTGAAAATGTTCATCAGTCAGCTGAGTCTTGCTGCGTTTGATGATATTACAAACCACAAAGTGTCGTCTGAACTCCTGCGTCTCACAGCAGACAATGTTTTCCTCCACATGGCCCCAGCCACCAGCTCCCTGTTACAGGAGTTCCAGCAGGACTCTGTGGAGGGCCTCCCACAGTTTCATACTCTCCAAGTGTATTGTGAAGACTTGCAACTGGACAATCAGTTGTACAGCAAATCCAATTTCCATTTTGCAGTCCTGCTGTGCCAAGAAGAGAAAACTGAAACCGCGCAGTGGTCAAGAATGAACAATCTCATTGTTTGTAACAAAGATTTGGAAAGCTATAAGGAAAACTGCTTTATTAAACTCTGTATTGCTTTTTCTGAGGAAGAGAATTTCATGTTTCACGTGAATGACCTCAGCTTTGAGCTCAAACCAGCTAGGCTCTATGTGGAAGACACCTTTGTTTACTACATTAAGACTCTGTTTGATACATATCTTCCAGAAAACAAAACTGCTTGTAAATCCATGAATGCTTCAGATACCACCCTGATAGTGCCTGAACAAGTGAGAGAGCATGCAAGAGCTTTAGTCAAGCCAGTGAAGCTCAGAAGATTAAAAATACAACCTGTTAATCTCCTTGTCAGTATTCATGCTTCATTGAAACTGTATATAGCCTCAGACCACACCCCTCTCTCCTTCTCTGAGTTTGAGCGAGGACCTGTGTTCACCACGGCCAGGCAGCTCGTCCACGCCCTGGCCATGCATTACGCTGCTGGAGCACTTTTCAGAGCAGGTCAGTACTTGTCCTTAACGAGCAACATTCTCCTTGGGTACCAGGGTTCTGTGACTGTCACTCAAGAGGAGTACCCTGGATGTTAGCAGTACAAGTTTTGTTCTCCTTAGACACTGTTTGGTAACGATACTTTCGGACACCATTCAGGTCCTGTCGTGCAACAGAAGGGAGATAAAATAGCTGAGCAGACACCTGTGAAGGTTTGTAACATTGTGCTAAATATTATCCAGCCACCTGAAGGCTTTAGCCACCTGAAACCCTGAATACAGCATAAAAATGTGTTCTGGCTGTCTTAGGTTTTGTCATTTTATATTATAGCACTAGTCAGAATCAACCCACATTCCTTACATAAACTCCCTAAAACAGTGTTTAATCAAATTATTCAGCATGTTGCTCTGCGCTCAGAAGTCAATTATAGGGCTGAATGTTGTTTTGTTGTTAAAACTCCTTTTGGCTGCAGTTTATGATTAGGAATCTGTCTTTCTTCATACAGCCTTCAATCTAAACTGGCACACAGATGTTTGTTTTTCTTTGATCCAAGAACTATGAAGTTTGCTGTTAGTAACTTAGTCCTATATAGGATCAATAGCAAGCAATTAGTCTTTTTTAAGTTATCAGGTACATTTTGTTTTCCATAAATACTAATGTAATGAAATCTGGTCTCTGATGTGTCTTGGTGCAGGACAAAATTTGTCCCTGAGACAGAAGGAAGCTCCTCCACCATCACACACATGTAACATCTTTCACACTGAAACAAGGGATTTATTTTCCTGCAGTATTAATAGTCAGATTTGCTGAGATCTGATGCTTCCATTTGGACTATAAGCATACTGCAGCCTGACTTCTGTGCCGGCTTTCCAAAGCTGTACACATGTATTTCATCTATTTATAGATGCTGACATTGTGTTTCACTGTGTGCATATCTGGCTTGCACTGCTGGTTGTGACAACAGTGTGCACAGTTGTGCAGCATAACAGTGTACCAGTTCATTATTTTCTTGCAATATTATGCCTGCAGAATTTGCAGGTTTTTCTTTTTGCTACTTGTTTGGATTTTTTCTGTAGTTAAATCTCATAGTACAGAAGGGCAGATCTAGTTGCTTGGTAATTAAGAGTGAAACTGTAGCCAGATATTGTCCACAGTGTAAATGCTTCTCCCCCATCACTTGCTCTGGGATCAGAGACGTATCTGAAATCAAGCAGATTTAAGTATTAAGAACTGAGGTTTGCTTTGGTGGAACCTCCCTTCAGGAAAATACATATGCATATATACTTAGCTCCCACTGAAAGTACTAAAACTAAAATGTATTGTTTGAAATGTGTCACCATGATTAAAATGGTGAATTGTACTGATTAATGTTTAATTTAGCAGTGAAAATGGTTTATGTTCAAGACTTTGTGACTCTTGTCAAAAAGCTGTGTCAACACAGTAAAAAAAGGAAGGAAAAAATCAAGCAAAAAGCTTCATATGATCTGCAAACCCTGAGTTTTTTTCTCACCATTAGCACAGTTGGTCTCTTATGGAAAAGAACCTCGTGCTTCTTCATGTTAACTACATTAATCTGGAATATGGGTTGTTTGACCCTCTTCTGCTCACCACTGTTCCATGCATAAATCATTGGTACCATCTGCACAGACAGCCTGTCCATACAGCCATACCTTATACTCAGGGATATGCACTCTTTTAGTTAGCTGTGTGCAGGACCACTGCTGAGCTGTGGGAGGGGGCAGGATTTGCCCCAAAGCTTGCTGCTGAAGGGGGTGCATCAGGTTGCCCTGTGTGTTGCAAAGGAGTGGTCAGAATCCATTAAAGCCATGGATGGGGCTGGAGAGCTCTGTTCAAATATGCTGATTAGCATTGCTTATCTCAAATCAGCCAAACCTGCAATGGATATCTCCTATTCTTTTCTAATTAAGTTGTCCCCTATATAAAAGTGCATAAAATTCTATTCAAAAATATCACTGGTACCACATCTGGTCCTATAGTTGCCTAAAAAGAAAATTCAGTGGCTCTCTGCTAATACAGTCATATTCATTTCATGTCAGTGGATATAATTACTATACATAAGTAGGAAATGATGACCTGACAATGATAGTGCATTCTGCAAAGTAAAATGCCACACAGAGCTTGTGAATTGAGGGGTTGTTCCCAATTCCTCATTCTCTTACTCCTGACTTACTCCCAGACCTTCTTCCCAGGGCTGGGAGGTCCAAGCTGGCAGTGAGGAGCCACTGGGTTTGCTCTGAGCATTGGCCAAGGAGGCTCACCCATTCTGCAGGTTGTACATTATTCCCATATGCTCTCCAAGGGTGAGCATGATCCATCCAGAGCTTCCCAAACCTGACAGGCAGGGACAGATTACAACAAACCTTCCCTGGCATACCAGGCAAGCCCTCAGTTTTGTGTTTAACTATTTTCATTCATTTTTTTCTGTTTTACATTCCTGAAATGCTGGCTGGCCCAGCAGGTGAGTGGAGGTGGAGTCCCCCATGTCCCAGGCTGGTGGTGCCTGCTGGGGATGCTGCAGGGCACCAGGGCACTAACCTGCAGTGCCCTGTAGCCACTTGCCTTCACACCACCACGTAGGACAAGAAATATCAAGAATATTTAGGGGGTAAAAAGGGCTCTAAGGAATTACTGCAATAATATTGATCAGAAAAAGCAGAAAGAACATCTCTCCTGTCTGTACACACCTCCCCCACCCCTCCAGCTTTTCAGCACTTCACACGGTGGCAAAGATAATTTATTAAAAATCCTACAGCAAGGGAATTGCAGGCCCAACCTGGAGTTCTGGCTTCCCCTGGTCCTGGCAGGAAAGGACTGCCAGGGGATGCTCCTTTCCAGGACAGTGGGCCACAATGTGTGTTGCTGCTCTGTTCATTGCATTGCCAGTAGCACTGGGGTTTTGTTTTTGTAGTCCATTCCACCCTCTCTCTTATGTCCACTCTGGTTCCTGCTTTTCATATTACAAGTACTGGAGTTCTCAACCTGCCAGAACTGAAATGTGGGACAGATTCAACAGGAATAATAGATTTTCCAGGAGCTTAGAATGATAGTGTGAGATTAATTCATTTCATATGAGTAACATTTTCTCTTCTGTTCGGTTTCATGATTCAGCCTTCCACAGGAATGACTGGGAGGGGTTAAAAGAAAACAAGAAAAGCATCTGGAGAGCAGGAGTTTTCACTGATGAGATGGGAATGAGGAGGGCAGAGCACAGATCAAGGGCCCTTATGGGAAAGCAGGAGGCCAGCCTGTCCATCCTTCAGTCTCCTGGCCCTGTCACACCTTGTGCGCTCTGACAGTGCCAGCTGAAATTCGTGGTACCAGGGCTCAAAGACCAAACAGTTCCTGTTTCACATTTATTGCCATTTCTGAATTGCTCTCTCTGGGCTGCCAAAAAAAGAGTTATGCAGCACTGTTTCCCTAATAAATCTGCTGCCTACCAGCCTGAGAAAGACAAGACCTGCAAATAGCTTTCCAGCAACAGATTGCTGCGTGCTCAGCCATCCAGCAAGCTGCTGGCAACCCTGCGTTTATATAGGAAACCAGATCTGCAGATACTTCTCCTGGGATATGCATAAGGAATACTCCCCTATGAGTAACCTAATCAGCATGTAGATGTCATTGCTGTTTACACAACTGTACTGAGCAGAAGACATTTGTCTGGCTTTCACTGCACTCTGAAAGAAAATGATCAGCTTAGAAGGGTTGGGGTGGATTTAAAATAACTTCTTAAGCACTTGTCAAAAATCTGCATCCCTTTTCCTAACACTCCATCAAGCAATTGACCTGCACACTCCCGTAAAGCAGTACATTGTATCAGTGTAAACTCCCTGTCACAATTCTATCACATAAGGATGTGAAATCACAACGCTGCCTTATAGTGTCTAAAACCAACCCGACCATCTGAGCTTGCAGTCCCAATCCTCTGTAGCTGCACGGCTCTCGCATCCGCCTCCCTCACACACTTTTAGCAGAAATACGGGAAGCTCCTGGAAGGAAGTAATTCTAAAGCTATTTGTGAGTTTGCCAAAAGGATTTCTTTGATTTACGAAGTATGAAAGATTGCCATTTCTGAATTCATAGTGGATGAGTTATTTCCTGTGTTTTGCTCAAAGGAAGTTCATAATGCAATGAATTCTAGTGTGAAAAAGATAATTAAGGAATAACCTTTTCACAACTGCTGCTTCTGCAGTTTCTGCAGCTGTAACATGTGTCTTGTTTGTCCACACAGGCTGGGTTGTTGGATCGTTGGAAATTCTTGGAAGCCCAGCTAGTCTGGTGAGAAGCATAGGGAATGGCATAGCTGATTTCTTTAGGCTCCCCTATGAAGGGCTGACCAGAGGCCCAGGAGCATTTGTCAGTGGAGTTTCCAGAGGAACAACATCATTTGTAAAACACATTTCCAAAGGTAGAGCTTTCATTTTATTTACTGTTTTTTCATATTATTTACTGTTTTGTTGTCATGCATTGTTAAAGTTTTAAGCAATAAAATCTGTCCATCCTTCAGTCTCCTGGCCCTGCCTTGTCTTGTGCTGCTCTGACAGTGCCAGTTGAAATTCCTGGTACCAGGGCTCAAAAACCAAACAGTTCCTGTTTAGCTAAGCTAAGAGTGTATGTAACAAGCTCACAAGCAATGTCTCATGTATTAAACAGATCACCACTTTACCACAGTGCATGAGAATGTTTCAGAAACTTCAGAATTTTAAACCTCCCAGTGGGAAATAGATATTCACTCAGCAAGTATTTCATGTGATAACTGCAGAAGTATTAAAGGTGTTCTGCACTTCTGCTAGTAATCAGAAATTCTACACTCGGTCGCCTCATCATATTTATTATTAAAAAAAAAAAAAAAACAAAGTAGATACAGTTGTCATAACTGTGTGAGTACGTGGATGGGATCTGACGGTGGCTGGCCTGCCATGGGACCAGGAGGAGCTTTTCCCCTGCAAAGCTGTACAAACAGTGCCATCGCGTGGCTCCAGCCGCCGCAGACACAGCGCCTGCCCCGGCTGGCTGCTGCGCCGAGCCCCCGCTCCTGCCTCCCGCAGGACGCGGCCTCACGGCTCCTTCTGTAAATATTTGTTTACCTTTCCATCACCCCCCTCTCCATTTAGATTAGCCTTACACAAGTCAGGGAACTGGAGAAGGATGTTCAGATGAGTTTCTGTTCCCACCGACCAGGCAAACCTGGAGCAGGCTAATGTAGAAGGCGTGACGCGGGCCATAGCAGCAGCGTGGTGATGCCTGACAAACAGTAAAGCATGTTACACATGGCTGACTGTTCCCTTGACTTGCTGCTCTGCTCGTAAGCTCACCATTGCAGGGAGGCATACAACGTCTCCGTGGTTTAAATTAAAGCATTTTGATCCAGACTCAAATGTGTATCTCCATGCATTTAGGTACACTGACGTCAATTACCAATCTGGCAACAAGTCTTGCTCGGAATATGGATAGGCTGTCACTGGATGAGGAGCATTACAACAGACAAGAAGAATGGAGAAGGCAGCTTCCAGAGAGCCTGGGAGAAGGACTGAGACAGGGGCTCTCTCGTTTAGGCATTAGCCTTCTAGGTAATGTACTATTAAAGTGATAATATTGTTTTCTAATCTGCTCACTAGCCTTTTCTAACTGTGAGTTATAATTTCAAATTCTGGGGGGGGTTGGTGTCTTCTTGTGAAAAAGCCTCACAGTATGTATATTAGATACTGTTTATCAAGATTTACCAACTTTTGTGTGTGATTTTTGCTGATAAAATAATTGCAGATATAGAATGGGTTTGCACTTTCTTGGTGAAATAAGATTTTCATTTGTACATGATGTAGATCTAAATGGGGAAAAAAGAATAATTCTGCATCGGGCAGCGTGACTTGTAACTAATTCAACACGAAGACGTCATCATGCTGATGTTTACTTTCCAATGAATTATAGGAATGCCTTCTGAACCTGCTTGTTTTTGCAGCACTGTAGATATCAGAGATTCTTGGGTTTGTTTGAAAACCACTTCAACTTAGTGCAGATGTTAAGTAAGCTTTGATGAGGAATTCTGCTTTTACGAAGAGACCCAGATTGTCCTGATTCAGTGTAATTTTATTCATCAAGCAGCCGAGTGGTTTGGTTAGAAGTGATGATTTCTCTATCCATTTCAAAATAGCACCTACAATTTTGAAAACTAACCCACAGTGGAAAAATTCTCTGCGAGAAGTTTTGCAGTAAGGGGCTGGATTTTCTAGGTTACTTCGACTTGTCACACTGCAAAGGAATGCAGAACTGTATTGTTTGGCAGAGTTCCTCAGTATGTATTAAACAGTATGAATCTCTTAGAGATCAAAGTGACCAAAAGCAGCCCAGTGCAAAAGGTTAGAAGAGCTGAAGCTTGAAAGGATTTGTCCTGTTTCCTAATCTTCAGTAGTGTACACAACTCCTAAATTTGCAACCGCAACCCTGAAAGCCCCAAAGAGGAAGTGGTAAAAATGTTACAAGTTTGGGTTAAGTTGCTGGGAATTATTTTAAGCAATAACATTAGATTATGTGAAGCACTGTCATTTGATAATGCCTGTAAACCGGCAAGCAAGTGTCCTGGGAGAAATGTGCATAAAGGAGAAATTCCATATATTAGTAGCCACTGTCCCAATAGTAAGCTGTTACTGGTGTTGCAAATCAAAGGCAGTTTGGAGGAGGTTTTATTTTTCCCTCTTGTTTTATTGGGCTAAGGGCAGTCAGAGTCAAGTTGAGTTGCTGGATGAAAGATTATCCTTTTAGAAGCACTGTGTCAGCCTGGTGTGTATGTGCTCTTGAAATGGTTTGGTGATCTTGGCTCAATAATTAATTAAACATCAAGGTAACATGGTGTCTATACCCCCTTTCTGACACACTGGAGCCCTTCAGAGCTAAAAACATCAGCTGTACAGCCTGAAGTAAAGAGCAAAACTTTGTAGCTTTGGCTGTATCAAGGCAAAGTTTCTGCTGTTCAGGAAAGCTGGGACCTCCTCACATACACGCACAAATACGCCGTTCCTGCACCTCCCTGCGCACAAGGATTCCGTGGTTCACAGCACTACACCTGAGTTAAAAGCAAAACAAAAAAAATAGAACTAGAACTTCAGTGTCCCTGATTTCCTAAGAAATCAGACTCTGAGTTAGAAATTTAGAGCTTCATATTAGCATTTAAACAGTGCTCCTCCACAAGCTAGGGTCCTGTTTTTATTCCTGAGGTTATTGTTTAGCGACTGCTCTCTGCTAACTCCCTTTTTTCTTAGCAGTTATGTCAGTGAAGCACCCAGATAAATAGTTACTGTATAGCTGGATGTGACAAGTATGGAACTCTCACTAAGGGAGAAATCAGAAATATTCCACTTACTCTGTACCAGTTTTTTAATTAAAAAATATTTTTTAAAAGCATGTTTCTTCTGTATAGGCAGCAGCATTCATATAAATTGCATCAAGACCTAAATTTTGATTAGACCGATGTTTAAATTTCTACAAACACATCAGAAAACTGCTGCTGTCCTGACAATTTATTTTCCCTAGCGCGTTCAGAATAAACATGAACATGCTTACTCTAAAAACACTTAAGGTTATTTGTACGTAACAAAGTGAAGCTGCAGTTATTTTCCTTGAGGAGGAAAGGTTTGATGAGCACAGAAATGCAGAGAGCACGACTGTTTGAAGCCGTAATTTTTATGACTTTCTAATTGTAAAATTGAAGGTGATTTCTACGATGGTCACGGCACTTTCATGTTCGTAAAAGCCATCTGACCCATGCAGGCAGCTAAAACAATGGCAGATGTAGATTTTGTGCCTATGTGAACTCACATAAGAGTCCTCAGTTCACCGGTATGTTGTGGTACCTACCCAGAAAGTAGAGTTGCCTTTCTGATTTTTCTGAAAATCTGGCTCACAGTGGCCCTGATTCAGCAGAGCACTTAAGCATGTGCTTAAGAGCTTTGCTGAATTGGGGCCAAAATCATGTACTCTCGTCTCCTCCTCAGTGCAAGTTGTTCCCTGTGGTACATTCTTAAGTGCTTTGTCCTGTCTCATTTTAAATGACTCAAGCACTGTCAGGGTGTTGTTTGATTTGATTGTTATCTTTGGCCAGCTGTTGTCTTCTTTTCTAATTTGGGGGAGATTTCTGGGTCATTTTAGTAACACTTGTGCGTGAAAAGAAGCAACAGCTTATGATGGGTGTGTTTTTTCTTTTATATGTTTAGGCAAAAATGCAGTGAAATTTTTGGTAAAATATTTAGATTATTGACTTCCAACCAAGGAACTATCTTTTGCATTTTGTGTGGCAGGGTCAAACTTAAAATATTAACTTTTAAGCATGTAAAAGAAACTATTGAAACTATCTGCTGTATTTTCAACTGCTGGTCCTAGTGAAAAATATTATATTGAAGTGGCTGCCTTTAGGAAGTTGAGCATATCTGAATAACCAAAAGATGACAACTATTCAAAAAGCTATTTTTTACAGTGACAGAAGTGCTCAACATTTCAGTTACTCCTTCCTGCTTTTGGGGAAGTGAATTGATCCATATTGCCTGACAGTGTAAGTGTCCTGATAGAGCAGGCAAAGCCAGGGTTTCAGAAGCTTAGATTTTTGTTATTACAGGTGGTGGTGGCTGTTCTTGCTGTACACTAGCACTGAGTCAGGGCCACTCTATGTTTGCCTATCTACAACACAAGATAGCACAAGTCACTGCTAATCCTGAAATTGTGTGCTATTCCACACTAATTGTACAACATCAATGCATGGCAACAGGTGCTTTTTTTTCTTTGAGCTGTATTTTTGTGAGATGTTTGCTGTGATGAGATTATGCTTCAGCCCTGGTTTTGGTGTGAAACACTTGCAGCAGCCCTGGAAGACAACAGAGAAAAGGAAGCAAAATGGCTTCAGCTTGGGCAGCTTCCAGCTTCATGGCAAAGCATGGCCAGTTTCTCTTAGTGGGGGATTTTTTCCAATTATGTCTTGCTCTGAAAAAGTTTGTCACAAGCCATCCGAGTTTTGCCAAGGTCTGTAAGCTGTGCTACGTTCACCAAACTTTGTCAGTCTGCATGAACCAGTTGCTGCCCGTAATCAAATTCTTCTTGAAGTAATCCAGTGATATACTCTGAACTATCTGAATTTTGTAGCTATCAAAGTAGCTTTTTTATTGTTACTGAGCAACATGTATTAACCAGAGTGCACCCCATCTGATGTTTAGCAGATGTTATGTTGTTGCTGGAACCTCTTTGGTCCAGTAATGGAAGAATATGTTTTTGTTTTGTTGCTTTGGTGTTTAATTTTATTGAGGTTTTCTTTATACATGCATAATCTGTGTGTACATATGTGGACATGCATATAAAATCAAATGCTTGGGGCAAGAAAAAAAAAAAGAAAAATGGAGAATGGTTTCATTTAATTAAAAAAATACTGGTCGAGGGACATTACAGAGAAAGGACAGGGACAGCAGTAGGACACCATGTGAGAGAGAACGAGAGTGGGAAGGGAGGAACCACTACGTGTGGTCCCATGCTCTGCTTTCCTGATACCCTACTGAAATCTGTCAGGAGAGACTTTCTTGGTAAGCCCATCCCTCATGGTGCTGCTGCCAAGAGCTCTGTTAGAACGCAAGAAGCCACAGGGGCACTGAAGTGCTTGGCACATTTTTTGGTGTGAGGAGTGCCCTGAACCTCACGTGTGTGCCACCACTCTCTTGCTGTTGCTGGGTTTGAGGTTGCTCAGGCTTTGGTCTATGTCTTTTTCCTTTGCTCACACATGCTGCACACAGGAAAGGAGCTGCACAACTGGATTCCCCACGCAAGGGCGGTAGAACCAGCCACTCCTCAGTAAAAGGAGTAAGGTTATAGTTTATTTTGTGATCTGGCATGGCCACTGCACATAAATTAGTTTTGGCAGTGAGTTGCAATTCAAGATAAGGAATTACAGAGGAAGAGAAGATCATTTGATATATTTTTTGCAGGAAAACCAAAAGATTTGCAAAAGGATTTGAGGTGCAAAAGGGCAATGTCTTCACAGACAAGTTCAGAACATGCATAAAATGCCAGAGTAACAGAAAGTGTGGAATTACTAAAAACTGGCTAATTAAGCTATGGATTATTTGGGGTATTACATAAATATTCTTCTATAACACAGTCACAGCAGTTTCCATTCTGTTTCCTTGTCCTTGGAGCCTAATTCTGGCTGAGCAGTGCCTGGAGCATACCACAGGTCCTTTGGAGTAGGCTCTTATTATTACCTTATAACTTTGCTCAAGTATATTGTAGTAAATAATTTACTAGTGCTAGGACTTAGGTGGATTACATTTTATAAGGCAATAACTTCTGTTCTGAAAGTGCAATTGTTGTGGGTGACCTCAACAGATAGGGTGAAGGAGGTCACAGGATAGTATAATATTGTAATTTAGCAGAACACCAAGTATTGTTTTATGCCTTCAAATGCATCCCAATTGCACAAAAGACTGGACAAACAATCCCAATTGTGTAATGTGGTGTTGAGATATTATTTTAGTCAAGCAGCAGGAGCAGCTGGTAAGTACTAATGAATTGAAAATTGTATCATTTCAATGGCATGGCATTAAGGAAAAAGCTTTGTGGCCTTTATGGTACAAAAGGTGAATGTTCAGCTGCACACTCAGCTTCAGTGAGTGACCTCAATTACAACCAGGCATCACTTCACAGATAGACCAGCATTTTCTGTGCAAATTTGTCAAAAGGCTAGTGCTACAGAATTTGGGAGAATTCTCTCTAAGAGGAGAGGAAGGCATTTATGGGGGATGCAAGTTTCTTGAATTCCTGATCGATAGTATCCCAGGGACAAGGATCTGGGGAAATGTGTGCTGCTTCTCATCCTTGTCTTTTCTTTGGACAGTGACTATGCACAAATACAATATTAGTTCTTGTTGTTCAAAGTCAGCAATTTCTTTATTTATCCAGTGACTGTAACTAAAACCATCTGAAAACCAGTTAGCAGCTCACTGCCTAGTGCACGTCACGCTGGTAAACACATGGGGCCAAATACCTTGGTTGCAATTGTCCGAATCTGTGGAATTATGCCTGGATTTCCTTCCACTTACAAAGCAGAACTTCAAATATGTCTAGGTTGAGGTGAAAATGCCTAGTAACCAGGGTGACACTCAATCCTACTCCTGAAATAATTGTTTTATCTTGATATTTGCAGCTGCAGGTGCAAACTGAGACCTGACTAAGAAGCCTGCAGACTTGCTTTTCACTGAGCAAAGCACCTTGGGTCAGGCAGACTGGTGTGGCTTTGTCCAGTCCTTGTACCCATAGTGATCTCCAAATAGCTTATCTATCAAAATTACAACAACTAGAGACATGTCTGTGGTTAAGTGGCTAGCATAAACTCAAGATCAAAGAAATGTACCACCTCACGTACCTGTTTACATTAGGAAGATTTAAGTTGAAGTTCTCTGTTGATACTAAAAGCTGGGAAGGTCACTATGTCACTCGTAAAAGTTTGACCCATGCGCATTAAAGTAAAATATGATGGTTTTCACAAAAAAGTAACAAAAAGGCTCAAAGTCTAATTCTGCTAATCTTAGTCATATATCAAAAGTTGCATTAGCTTATGAACACTTCTGGCAGTGGAAGAGGATATAAAAATGATCTATTGAATACAAGCAGTTTTTATTCTCATGAAGTCAATCTCGCACTTACGTGAAAATCTCATTTCCATAGCAGCTTAAGTCATCTGAAACTGGAGGATTTTATTCCTAGCCCAACATTTTCAGAATTATTATCAAATTTAATTTACTCAGCAGAAGCATTTAGCATACGTAGTCTAAAGAGGAAAACATAGTGTTAGGTTAGGTGATCTAAATGTTTAAAAAAAAAGGTTCGATCTTAACTGAAGCTAAGATAGTGTTTAGCTAATTGGTCACATACTAAATGGCTGTAGAAGAATGGGGTACAGTCTCTAATCCAAACAATATTCAGGTCCTGTAGTAATATTTCCTCTTATTATGGAATATTTATCTATATATTCACTATGTATTTATATATTCGTTACTTACTGGAGACTCTTGTTTTTTCAGGTGCAATTGCTGGGATTGTGGATCAGCCGATGCGGAATTTTCAGCGAGTGTCTGAGGCCCAAGCTTCTGCTGGGCATAAAGCCAGAGGGGTCATCTCGGGTGTGGGGAAGGGAATCATGGGTGTCTTCACGAAGCCCATTGGAGGGGCAGCTGAGCTCGTCTCCCAGACAGGTTACGGTGAGTTTCATATTTCCAACACCTCCATTTAAATTTTAAAATGCTGTTCAGATACAACCTACTATGTCTTACTTATCCAGCTCAGTATTGTGTGACTTAGAGAAAGGTTTAGAAATGCCACCGCTAAATACTTACAAATGCTCTGCTGGCTTTCTGAAACGCCATCGTGTTGTGCTTCTCTCTTGTGTTACTGATCAGCGATGCGCAGCCACAGAAACAGAGAATGCAGAAAGCATGAAGTAATTCTTGGAATACAGTAGAATTAGTTACAGAAACATATGTGCTTGAAAAATAGTTTTTGACATAAAAGGATTAGAGCAACACTATGTCCAATTAGAGTGTTATTTTGAGATTGCTTTGTTATGGCAGGGAAAGAGTTGGGCTATCTCTACACAAAGAGTGAGTTACATTCTTGGGAGAAAGAAGTGAGTCATGTAGTAGGAGCATCCCCTTTAAACTGGAGCTTCACGAGAAGACAGTCCTGTTTTCAGATACATGGGTAACCTTAGAGCAACCAGAGGTGGGGTTTCCAGCTAGACTGAGCACTTAATGGCACTGGTGCTAAATTCTTTCAAATTGATGGGAACAATTCTGGACAAGCAGAAAGTGTAAAAGATAAAAATAAAATATCAAAATACACTAATTTATTTGTCTCCAGTATCAGTAAATCACTTTCATCTTGAATATTTAAGAAGAAATGGTGGTTGGAGGCAGTCAGGGAAGAGAAGCAGGATATCGATAGAAGGACAGTGTGTCAATAATTCCACCTCACTAATTATACCAGACAAACCTTGAATATTTAAGCCTTTAATCACTAGCAATATTTATGCTTGTTGTGTTGACTAAAATATGAGTAGTTCCCATAGAGCTTAAGGTTAGAATGCTTCCTACAACATGCACAGCTCATTCCATCTAGTAAAAGAAATTATGAAACAATTATTAGAATTCTTTCAAATCAACTTGATCTTGTTTGTATGATCATAAATAATAACTGTTCTCCTGAATTGCACACCCCATAGGTGTAAAACCTGTATCAGCAAAATCAGATTGTGCAGAAGGTTTTTTCTGTTGTCAGCTGTCTCTGTGTTGGCTTTGCAGCCCAGGACATTTTAATTCTAGATTTACTTCTGCTACTGTCTTTATCAAGAAACTCATAGTAGTAGAGGGATACTTTTCATTGCAGATATGGTATATAAGACATCATGTTTTCCATGACCATGTGACAAAAGGAGTTAGCCAGGAAAAAACATAAAACTATATCAATAATAGTTGACAGTGCGTGAGAGGAAAATACACAAGAGTTCAAGTAACTCTTACCCACAACTGGATTGGAAGTGGGACAGTGCCTCTTGGGGGGGACCAAGGGGTGGAGGACCACACAGAAATAAACACATGTTCTCTCTGTCTCCATCTGTAAATAACATTTTCACTCACATAATGCTGAGAACCTCGGTAAGCCAACTGTTACAATTGGGATGCTGCTTTTAAGTATTACCATCAACATGTGTGCTAAAAATTAAAGGGTTTTTTTTCATTGCTGATGTTTTGTTTAAATTATTATCCATTGTGTAAGAGGGAATCTAAGTTATTGACACCCTTATGCCTTTGGAATGCTTAGACAAAAGAAAATCTCTTAATTTATTTGTAAAGAAGTACATTTGTAAAAGAGTAACTTTGCACCAAACCATGTAACACTAGTGCTTGCTGCATAACCTACTCCATGTCTGTCATGTAAAAATTTTTAAAACTACTCCATTTGTGAATTTTTTTGTATCCCACACATTCTTTCTGGTTACCATACCTCATCATTGAATGTTTATAGGCCATCTGAATCATACATACTGTATCATCTTCAGCTCTGGAGAGTCTCTTTAGAAACCTGCTTAACTGCTGCTTGTAGTCTCCATTCTGTGCTGGCACTAAGAAGAATTCACAATAAACCAGATGCCCCAGGAGATCTCATAAATGTACACGGATCTGTGTTTAACAGCTGGATTAAGTAACTGAACATTTAAATGCAGGCAAACTTGCCTTCTAATTTGTACCAATTGTGACACGTATATGAAAGTATTTTAATATTAAGCAAGAAAGTTAACAATGGTCTTGATTTTTTCTGCATAAATCCTAAGTGATGTGTCTGATCCTGCTCTGAAGTGATGGCTCTCAGGAGTGTTATGTTTCTCCTGATTGCAAGTGTAGAGCTGATTCATGGAACACACAGTGGGGGTTTTTTTGTTTCTTGCTAAAGCGAGATCATGGGGGTTAAGTGCACAACTCTTGCATTGTAATATTTAATGAATTATCTTGACTACAGCTTCCAGAGGTGTGACATCATTTTGGATCTGCACTGTTTTATGAACTGCTTTAAACAGATGACATCACTGCAACACGTAACCGCGTTGTAGAAAACAACCACTAAAAAACCTGAATTCTCTTGCCCACAGGTATTTTGCATGGAGCTGGACTTTCTCAGCTTCCCAAGCAGCGCTCTCATCCAAATGACCAACATGTTGAGCAGGCTCCAAACAGCCACGTCAAATACGTCTGGTAACATTATTTAGACAATTGCTCATTTTTACATCCATTGTTTATTAATAGGTTCTGGCCTCTGGTCAAATTAACAGGAAAGGCTTCCCTTGGAAAGGCTGAGTTATGGCAGTTTGTTTAGGAACATTAAACACAAAGGTAGTGCATAGAAACCCAATCTGCAAATGATGGGCTGCTGATCTGCATCCAGCTTTGAAACTACAGAGCTGATCTTTATTTAATGGTATTCAGTGAGTTCTTACTTATTTTATCATTGCACTGAGCCCAAGAAAAATACTGCACATCTCCAGAAACAGCTGTTAGTGAAGATAGCTTTATTTTCTGCACTGAATTTCTAAGCCACTGCTTAGGGTAATTTTTCTATTATCAAGGAAATAGGATGGGAAATAGGCTAACCTAGCACAGATATTAGGCCAATTCTGCGGTGAGTGATTGAGGAGTTTTGATAAGTAACAATTTCACATTCATTCTTTAAATCTGAAGTCTTACATCTTTCAGTAATGGAGTTTTGGAGACGCTCCCTGGCTTATTTTACATCCGTAGGTGATAGCTACAGGCTTAAGTAAAAACAGTGATCAAAATAAGCCCTGGAGGATCCAGTGCACTACACTTAATTCTTTTTTTAATCTTCTTTTTCTTTTTTTAACCTGATAATGCAGGAAAATGCTGCAATCTCTGGGAAGGCCAGAGGTTCATATGGCCTTAGATGTCATGATTGTGAGTGGATCAGGCCAGCAGCATGAAGGCTGCTTGCTGCTCACCTCAGAGGTGCTCTTTGTCGTGAGCATCAGTGAAGACACACAGCAGCAGGCCTTCCCCGTGACTGAAATCGATTGTCTGGAAGATGATCAGCAAAAAGATCTGCTGAAGGTGCAGCTAAAACAACAGAGAGTGCCTTCTGACTTGGAGGTAAAGACTTGAGTACCTTTTCCCTTCAAAGATGAAGTTACACTGATGCTGGTGCTTTTGGCAGTGGGAATACTCATCTTTGGGCTGGGAGGCCAGAGGCTGAAGTGCCAAACTGGGAGATCTGCCCCTCACAGTTGGCTGTTCCCCTTTGGATGAAAGGAATGTGTCTGCTCCCTTCTATCCTCTTATTGATTGTGATATACCTTATCTATGACAGAAATTTTCTGAGGGGAAAGGTAGAGGAAGTTTGAGTTCTTGGTAAGCACCACCTCTTTTCTGAAAAGGTTCTCATGGCTACATATGCACGAGGTGTTCATTGTTTGGCAAGTCAGCATTACACCCTGTGCCTACCAGCTCCCAGCAGAAGCAGTTCCTTTTATTCTTCTGGGAGTTCTGGTAACAGTTCAGTGGTGCTGGTGCTCCTTTCAGTGTGCTTTTATTTTGTCTCTTCTAGCACAGTGGTCTTGTTTGGCTGTATATACTTCTTAGATCTTCCTTCTGCAAATGCTAGCTTTAAGCTGGATTAGTCCCTCTCTGAGATTGGATGCACCAAGTGTTTTCCAGTAAGAGCATAAACACTTCATGTTGAAAGATGTCTAAGCCATTTGAATACTGGGGTTTTTTGGATTAATTATCTTCTCTTAATGGCAGAAGAATGTTATATTTTTACACTTTTGGGAAACAATGTTTATTGTATTAAATTCTCAAGTAGAATCATATGAGAGAGCATTTCAAAAACGAACATGCATGTCCCAGTTTTTATAAAAGTGTGCCAGGTAGTTTATAGACTGCTATAACAGTAATTTCTGTTTCAAATATAAAAAACCCCTGAAATATGAGGTGTGACAAAAAGTAGGAGCACCTTCAGTCAAATCCTAACTTTGCTGAAGTCACTGAAGAGTTTTGCTGTCGATTTCAGCAAGGACTTCATCTGTGTCGTGACAGCACTTGAGTATTTTTGTGAAAGCTTTCTTTAGTGCTGAATTCTCTATTTATATTTATTGTCTTTCCACTAACCTCAGTCTCACAGAGAACTGTTGACTGAAGTTGCCTTCTCTCACCACAAAGCTACATGAGGGATTACTTAAATTGTGAAGCAAATGGGCAAAGCTCAGCTTTTTTTGTCCCTGAGTGCTGAGTGGTTGGTGGAGGCACACATCAGACTGTCAGAGTCCAGCCTGTCCTGCTCAGTCCAGAGCCAGTCCTGAAGGGAAGAAGAAGAAAAGTTGTTTTCACTAAGGCACTGGATGCACACAACCTATCCTAACCCTAACTTTAGCACTAGCCCAGATCCTTTTTTTTATTGTCCTGGAGTGTTGTCTGGCATCTGGTTTTCCGAGGGGTGAGGAGAAGGCTGCTGCTGTGGGGGAAGGGCAGCTTGCTGCAAGTGGGTGATGAAGGGTGCAGAGGGTCTGCCTCTTTGGGAGGAGGGAAGGCAAGGGACAGGGAGCCTCATTCTGGCCCCTACAGCTGGGAATGTGTAGGATTTATGGGCAAGTGGGGCCCCTGAATGCACAGAGCAACCCTGCATGGCACGTGCAGAGTCCAACGTTCCCACACACGCGCGCTCGTAGCATCCTCCTTTGGAGGTTCTGGACCAAACACATCATTGTTTTCTGAAGTTCTGGATGGAAATATGGGAGTCCTACTCAAGTGGTGCAGCAATGCAGCTCTAGGAGCTGTAAGCCTTGAGCCCAGCATCTCTTTTGCTGATACAGCCTCTTGAGAACGCAGTGAAAATGTATGGCATGGGAAAAGCTGGGAAAAGTGCCTGTGTCCCAGGTGGAGCCAAGTCAGGGATGGCAAGACAGCAAAAGCTGAGTGATGCTGTACAAAACAGACCTGGCAAAACATTCCTTCAAAATGCAGATACTGACACTGAAATTCTTGTAAAAATTTAAAGAAATGTGCTGTGAAGAAGAGCAGTTGAAAGAAACAGAGAATAAAAAAATTTGAATTTTTTTATGTTAAGGCAGCTAAGGCAGCTACACAATAAAAGATTCCAAAAAATACAGTTTTAGTAATTACGTGGAGTGTTTTATAATTAATATTTGCTGTGTTTTTTTAGTGGATTGGGAGATGTCATACTTGGTGATTTCCTTTCTGCAGCTGAATCTGTTGTCTGGGTGTCATGTGCAGCACTGGTGCTGATGGGAGCCAGAGCTTCCCTTCAGCTTCCTGACAAGAGCTTCTGCAAAGTCTTCAGGTGGGATTAGGAAAAGGAACCTTAGGAGGAACAAGTTGTGACTTGCAGATGAGCAGCCTCTAAGCTGCAGAGTGATGCCTAAACAGGCACAACTCCTCAGTATTAATAGTAGGCCATTGTGTGGCACTGAATGTGTCCTCAGCTGAAGTGCAGACATGTCTGTGCACGATGGCATTCGCAAAGATGGCCTCAATTTTTAGCTGGAAAATGCCCAATCAGGTCAACCAAAATGTTATTTTGAGTTTAGCAAAACAGAGCTAATGTTACCAGTATAAGTTATGTCTATTTTTCTGATTAGTTTAGTCAAAGATGCTAGAAATAATACAATGAATTGAAACATTTAATTTCAAGGCTGTAAAAATCCACTTTTTTGCATTACTGCTCACAAAAACAATTGCCAAAAGTTTTGTTTCAGCTCTGCCCAAAACAGTTTCTCTCATTCCCTCTCCTCAACTTCTTGGAACAGTTAAGAAACAAAACATGAGTTATTCTACAGCTGTAATCACCAGAGATGTTATGGAGCATATTTTGATTCCTTCAGCAGTAGGTTTGCCTGAATCCTTCTTCGCCTCCACAATATATAACTTAATCCATCTGGATAGGAATAGCCTGGATGGATTCTTAAAAACTCTGGCACTGACAAGTTTGTTATTGAAAGGGAAGTATTAATTGTATTTGGATTATCTTCCAAAGTAATTGAGACACTGCTTGTTTCCAGACAGATGTCAAACTCAGAAGTCCTGCTCTTCCAGCTGTTCTTGGTATAGCTCATAACATCAAGAAGACAACAAAAAATTGAAAGGCCCTGGAATTTCAGATATTCCAGATTTTTTTTTAATAGTTCTACGTGTTACCATCTTTCAAGCTCAAAACCAATCTTTGGATTTCTTAAAACAACGGAAAAAAACAATCCTAAAGAGCTGGATCTCCTTAGTCAGTGTGCACAGAGGAGCAGATCGGTGCTACACACCCATCTGGACTGCACAGCTCAGGTGTTATAGCTGCTGTGGAGTTAGAATTGCTGAAGGCTTATTCATTATAAACCATAATGGGAGGAATTTGAGAAAAATACTGGAGGTTTAACCCAAAAATATAACTTTGTAGTATGAAGGGACATGATATCTGCAATATTTCTCTACGATGCATTAAGCAAGCCTTGATCAAGTTTTGAATCCTTGAGTGATCTGGATATTAACATTGTAAATGTTCAAAGAAGCAAGTGAGGGCACTTAGTGACAATCTTAGGTCCCATTTAGGAAATAAATGTAGAATAACATCAATTCCAGATTTTTCTTGTCTTGAAGATATAAGCCAAACTGAAGCTGGCAACAGAAGGACACTTAGTTACAGATGAAGTCATCTAAAAGCAAGTAGGATCCCAGTTACTTTGGAAGACCATCCAACCATAGTTAATATTTCCTCCTGAACAATTTTGCTGTATCTGTGGAAAATGGCCTGGGGCTTCATGAAGGATGGGTTCACAAAAGTCAATGAATGGGATACCAGCACCATTTCTGTCTCCTTTGGTAAGCAGGATCTTCTGGTCAATGTGGAGGCAGAACCCAGCTGTCCCTGGGCTTACCTCCCTAGGAGAAATCAGGAAAAAGTGTGAAGCCACCTACATGCAAAATTTACCCTGTAACTTAAAATCCAGTTTACATAGGTGGCACTCCAGCATATTTCTCTGCTTTCAACTGCTGAAACAGACTAAGTGCTGAGGTACTTTCACTGAGCCACCAGACCAAAGTCGTGGCTCAGACACCGTTCCCCACCGTGAGCTGGGAGTCTGCTGCAGCACTCTGCCTTCTGATTTTCCCTGCCTTAAGGTCGTTCATGGAAACAACCCTTTCCTGTGCCCATTTCATCATTTCTGCTGTTTCTAGGCACAGGTTTCAACCTTAAACTTCTGAGCTTGTTCATGAGCCTGCTTCCTTTAGCAATTTTGTGATGATGATTGAAAACAGGAGTGTTTCTACTCGCTGAGCAGCAAATCCATCTCCAAAGGCATAGTAAAAAATCCAAAGGGGACTTTTTTCATGTGAATGTGACACCTGTCACTATCTATCAATCATATTAATTCTTTCTTCAAATAAGCAGCAGAGTATTTAAATGAGTCTTGCAGTCCAGAGACATGACAAGAGATGATTGTGGATGTTAAATTGAATCTAATGGCACGGTTTGAAAATATCATTCTAGCTAGCAAGACCTGTAAAACTCCCTGAAAGACAGGCAGAAGATAGCAGTCTTTAAATCTTTAGCATGGTGTCCAGCAAGAAAATTTAAATCCTACAAAAATTAAACTGGTCAGCAATTCTCCAAGCGTAAAATAAGGAAGCATCAAACCCTAGCCCTATTATAGCTGCTGCCTTTTCTCTTCATTGTAATATTTGGGAAGTAACTTCTATTCTGAATGCCTTAGCTTATCATACTACTGTAGTATTCATGGTGGGATTTCTGAAATATTTTTTTGAGGCCATGCAACCAGCTTGGTGCCTGCTTGTTTGCCTTCCCTTCTCAAGCTAGTCGTAGCCATCCTCAGCTTCTTCAAAAATAAGGGCACAGCAGATTGATCTTCCAAAGCCATGTCTGCCCACAGCTTTTCTGGATAACAGTTTATCTGGTTGCAACCATATGATTGATTACAGTATTTGATTTACTGTATTTTTTCTCACTAGGGTAAGTCATTGCATTCCTCTTGCTAGGATCTTAAACAACCTATACCTATTTCAGCCTGCAAAACACAGATCCCTTAATGTCTTCTCCAGAAACAAAATGCCCAAATCATCTTTAGTAAAACCCTTTTGTTTAGAAAAATGTCCTTGTGTGAATGGGTTTTGTTGCCAGAAGCAGATGGATATATCCTGCCATAGAACATTCATCTGGAAAGTAGCTTCTAGTCTTCATTTTAAATGAAATAAGTTGAAGACTAAAATATTTTGGCTAAATAGAATTTCTGTATGATAAGCCTTGCCAAGAGCTACTGACATTTTTCTAAAAGGGGTTTCAATGCCTTTGCTGTATACAAGGAGCTGATCTGTTGTAAAGTTCTACTTTTAACCAATTCTCAAAAGATACTGCTTAAATTTTCTGTGGCAAGTTAGTGCTTCTCAGAAGTCCAGACAGCAGAGGAGAGGACTAATTCACCAAGGACTCAACTATGGGAGAACACTCATGACTTTAAAAATCCTTTAAACTATTTTAAGATTTCAGGCAGGAAGATTTTATTCAGAGGAATGTGGAAGTCATTGTCCTTGCTGCTCAGCTCAGTTACCGTCAAGCACTCAGTAACTATTGTATCTTATGTGATTCCAGGCCGAGGGCGCCAGGGAGAGACTGTCAGAGCAGCAGTACAACCGCCTGGTGGAGTACATCACAAAGACCTCCTGCCACCTCGCCCCCGGCCCCGCCGCAGCGCCAGCCCCCCAGACCCTGGCTGCTGAACAGCCCCTGACTATTACAAAAACCTATCAGTATGTAGTTGATCCAAATTTCGCCCAGGTATTCATTAGCAAATTCACCATGGTGAAAAATAAAGCCTTGAGGAAAGGATTTAATTAAGTTATTTCTGGTGTGTGTAGTAATGCCGTACCAGTTTGAAAGCGATGCTTTCTCTGCAGTAACCTACATCAAGTAGAGATGCATGCAATTTTTGAGGAGGTAGAAATTGATAACAAAGCCCAATAGCTTTTCTAATCTTGACAACATTCCTGCTTCCTAGCCAAAATACTAGTGCTGGAAGGAAAGTGTTCTGGCAAAGGAATAAAGTGAGAAGGAACAGCCTTGGACTACAGCTTAATCAAAATCCTTTTTCTTTTCAATAACCAAAAATTAGAGAATGGGGGAAAATTACATGCATACGGACGTTTTTACCACACACAGAAATGTGTATCAATACCTCTATATCTTATTTTAGGGTCTGCCAGTTTCTGTTATAAACCAGGTTTATAACTCAGCTGTAAAAACTTGCTCAAGGTTGGGCCTTTCCCCCCACACCCACACTCCCCCAACATGTGCGTCCTGAGGCAAAACATTTTCCCCCACTAAATCTGAAAAACCCAGTGTGGCTGTTTTAAGTTACTAGTGACAGCTGGGTTTTAGCACCACTTTAACCTTAAAATAGCTTCCTTTATTTGAGTGAAGTTCTGCAGGACATTAGTCCATAATGTAAACTAGTGCCTTTGTGTGGTTTGGAGAACAAAACATGAACTACAACATGACTTTATTTTTAAAACTGTCTGTATACAGAAACTTTATTTTATCCACCATCAAATTTTCAAAAGTACTTTCAATGTGTGTATGACCGTGCATTGTCTGCTCATTAACTGGAAGCCAGTAACATGCAGTTCAAAAATGTAAGAAACAGAGCTGTCTCCTTAAAATCTCCAAGCTCAATGTAACCCAGATGTGCAGGTGCTAAGTACACCTTGTGGGGTCTCCTGATTTCTGATCTGCCACCACTACATTGTATGTACTCCCTTCAGTCCTAATTCATTTTATGCTTATTGTCTTCAAACTGATAAAAACAGGAATATTTAGAAACGTGACCTTTCAAATATGTACTAAGCAAAGTGAGATTTTTCTAAAGTTGATTGGAAACTATGGACCCACAGGCACCAATTGCATTAATAGTTAATGATGCCATCACAATACATTTACAAATATATGTTAAACACCTGCATTTCTTGTGTAGACAAGAAGTCAATCTCTGGGCACAGTTAGATGACTTTATAAACCAAATTTGGCTATGGCAGTTTCATTTTAAAATCAAAAGCTTACTTGGTTTCCAACTATGCGTGTTAATTTTTTTCTCCTTTTCTATATGCTTACCAAAATGAATTATGTCTGGAGATTCCTGAACATGGCTGGAATTGGAGTCAAAAACTGGAATAAAATGTGATCACCATTTGGAGCATATGCTTTATAGTTAATAACTTCTATGCATACTTGATATGACCAAATGCACAGGAAATAAGAATGTAGTAACTGCGATATTTTTCTCTTGAGTTCTGCTTTGTTAAAAGGTATTTCTAAAAGCTGTGTCTCTCATCTACTGAGAGTAAAGGAGGCTGGGGTCTGCATTGTCCTTTTCTGACTGTGAAACTAGCCCATCCATTGTCAACATTTCATACAATGATTTAATAACTTAGTCATTGTTTAAATAACACTGTTTAAAAATGTATATGTGTATACACACATGCGCTTCATTCCTGAGTATTTTATGGAAGTTGTTTAATACTTCTAATTTTGCATATTGATGGATAAATTGTAATATAATTAAATTGTTTAAAGATAATAAAGCTATTCCTGTAATACTTGTTCTTGTGAGCTGTTTATTCATTTGGTTACAAGGTGTAGGACACTGACAAGACTGATGTAGGCAAGCTTCATGCGGGCCCCATTAGATCCCATTAGATCCAGTTGGTCACTGGACTTTGTAGTGTACCAGAAAATGCAATAGATCATGACAATACTTTGGAAGTAAAAACTGGTGACTAGCTTGCCAAAAATGTGTGCTGAAAAGTTTTATGCTTTTGTGACTAACTGAATCAAAACAGCACTGTACTCACCATTTCAATTAGACTAATCTGTTCCTTATTTATGGAGTACACAGACAAGCCAAGGGGATGCAAACACACCTGTATGAAATGAGGAACAGCAGTTTCATTTCTAAACGTTTGTAGATTTCAGCCGTTTAAGATTCATTTGTGTTTTTCCTGAATTACATTCTCCTGGAATAAACACTTGCTTAAATTACACTTTTCTTCAGTGAATAGAGCTGCATCTTTACTGCATTAGGCAGGTTCTTTCTCCCCCTTCTGACCACATGTATGGAAACGAGTGGGGACAGCACATAAATCAACCTCTCCTACATATGAGCTGTGTGAACTATGAAAACAAAGTTGTCCAAAGAGCAGCTGCCTGTACTTAGCTGCTAAAGCAGTGCAATGTGTACTCTTAAAACATGCCTACTCTCATAACGCTCTTTAGACCTGGAGAGCTCACAACTTCAAATCTATCTTTTTAGTTTGCTTCCAGAACAATCAATCACTCCTCAAACACTCCAGAATAAAGTAAGCTAGCCAAAAAATTTGAAGTCATAGTCAGGCAAGACCTTTCCCAAAGCAGTTTAGGTCAAATAATTCCTTTTTATATATCATTTCATACATAAATATAGCAAAAACCTTCAGACACTTGGGATAATCTCCAAGAGCAGCCAAGCATGTTTTTCAGCTCTGCATCTCCTAGAAACAGAATGCCCTGTAACAAGCAACTGATTAGGGCTGAACTCACAGGTCTTGTACTATTATACCCACTCCAATTCTTTGTATGATAGAATTAGGTGAAGTCTTGCTGGCAAAGGAAAAAAATGTAAAAAGGAAGAAAAAAAAAAAATGGTGGGTTGGTGCTGATTTCAGAAAAGCAGGTTAGGTGTCCAGCTTTGCACTCCCTTCCTACTCCAGAGGAAAGCAAGCTGTGGGTTGGTTGGCATTGCCTGCTTAAGGGAAGTACTTGCCTTGCATCCAGTGTGAAACCAGGCTGCATCCAGAAAGCAACCACTGCAGCCTGCAGACTCCTAAAGCACAGCCACAGAAGTTAGAACTCAGCTTCCTTTGTTAAATACATTTAGCCAGAGACACCCCTGAGCTCGCTGTATCTGTCAGAAATTGCCTTCAATCACAAAACTCTCATTTCTTTAAATCACATGAGCTGGTAGCTGAAGGAACACAGACTGCAATAACTGCTGCTGGCTACAAGAGTTTAAAAGAAACTTAAGAATTTAACAGTGAATTAATTCAGAGCAACTGTGAAGAATACAGGGCCTAGACTGACAAGGGAAGTCATGTCTATTAACCTGCACACCTGGCAGTAGCAGACTTCTTTGCCTCTGAAGCTGTCAGTAAGACTGAAGACCCCTGGCTATTTAAACCTGCAGACAGGCCTGAGAAAATGTTAGTCAGTACTTAATGGCATACACTGTTTATACTATACATTGGGAAGATAAATGGAGATCATTTGCTATTGTTAAGCTCTGGTTTACATTTATAGGAGCTGGGGTATTTTGATTACTAGATGGTTTCCCCAGCATCACTAATGTCAAATTGTTTCTTTGCTTAAAGGAAGCACTGTCTGCATGGGAAGTTTAAAGAAAATCCCACGTTGCTCTATAAAATGTTCTGGATCACATACATTACTTGTGTGCTTTCATTAGTCCAAATGTTGTTCAAGGATACCTATTAAGTGTTAAGTAGTTAATGATCCATGTAAAATAATAAGAGTTACTCCAAACAGGATTTGAACTGAAGACCTTCAAATACAACACAGATGGCCTAATTTGTCATGCTGCTTCATACAAAGACTTCCTTCCTTTCCTGCAGTCAGCTTTTGCCTGCTCTCCTCAGTGTCCTCATTCAGCAGACGAGAGCTGCAGTCCCAGGCCCTTCTTCATCCTGAGCAGCAGGCAATGACAAAGCCTGTTCTCACTGACAGGTTACCACGGCCCAAGGCAGAGCATCGTGGTGCCTCAGACTGCAGTGTAGCAGGGATCCAAACTATGCTTAGCTGACTACTTCCAGATATTAAAAAGATGATACATGTCTAAAAGCAGCGTGCCAAGATTTTTATTACCATAATACAATATTTACTTTGTCTGCCTGTACCCCCTTCCCTCTTGTACATCAATTAGATGGGAACATGCCTGCAGTTTGGAGTCATTTTCCAATTAGAGTAACTAATACACCATGTGTAAGAACGGGCATTTGCAGAGTCTGTAAGTCTTGCTGTAACAGTTTGCTGATGTGAGGAAGACAATACAGTGATGACAGCAGACAAAGACAGAAAGGTTGGCTGGTGTATTTCCAGAATTTCTAGCCAAATTCTTTTGTATCAAGGTCAGCTCACCTTGTGAAGCCAGAGGTAACACAGACCCCTCCAGAAATCCATCCTCTCCCTTCCTGCAACATCTGTCCTCTTGCACATTCCCATAAGCAGCTGGGACAAACTAGCTGTCACTGCTTAGGGATATACTGTGCTATCAAATGTGGAATTTGGCCAAAAGAGAGATGCAAATAATTCCTGGAGGAAAGATGGACTTAGTCATCTTGAGAAAGTTCTGAAGACTTTCCACCCCTCTTTCCACCCCCCCAGTACCTGAGCCTTTAAGTATTTCTACATTAATGAAGAGAACCAAATGTCACTGACATAGGTTATTTTATTTATTGAGTTGCATTAGAGCGTGCCATGCACTGTGGTGCATTGCACTTTACACTTCAGTGAACAAATAAGGTTCAGTCATCAAGTCTTCTTGAAATGAAGGGAATCTGCAAGACAAAAAAAAGCCCATTAAGTTATGATGGACAAACTTCATGCTCCAAGTAAAAGTATTAGAATGTACGAATGCAGAGCAGCAGAGAGAAAAGTTTATGTGGTAGTTTAGTCTAGAGGAATTCCCCGTTATTTCCTGAGCTTGAAGTTTCACACACCCTTCATGTGGCAAACAGAAGTGAAACATGGAACAAATCAAGAGCTGGAACACCACTGCACAGCACATCAGATCCACTATACATGCTGCACTGGTAACTGAATCAGCCTTGCTAAGGCTGCAGGAGAAAGGAATGCAGCTTTCAGAGAGGAGCCAGAGAGGAAACAAGTGGTGCAGGCAGCCTACCAAGGAAGGAAGAAAACCAAATTCAAATTGCTTCTCCCCATTATACTGAACACAATCCAAGACCAGCTGTGCTCCATGACAAGAGTCTTGAAAGTGGTTAGCACCAAGCTCTGAGCTTCCCCCTTTATTCCATGGCTGAGCACACAGCAGATGCCAGATACTCCTCACATCTATCCCTCCTCCTGCCCACCCGACCCCTGCCTCAGTTCTGGGCTCAGTTCTGGCTCCACAGAGAGCATCCAGTGAGGTTCAGCCACTGCCACATACAGCACACACTGCAGGAAACTGGGAGATGTGGAGTGTGCATGATCCCTGTAACCTTTAGGTAACTACACCAACTAAAGGCTGAAAATTCAAAATAGCTAAGATTTAAACTTCTGAGGCAAACAAAAATGTCCTCCATCTGTTCTGGGTACTTGTCCTTCTTCTACAGCCTTTACAGAACATTTGAAACACTGGCATTGTTTTCCCCTTCCTCTACTTTTGTATTCAAGTGCAGGCACAAAAAACCCCAACCTCTTTCTACTATGAAAGAGTGAAGAAATGTCTGTTCTTACATAAACAGGCTAAGGAATAAGAAGCATCAGTAATTCAAACAAAATCACAAAAGAGGATTTCTTTCCCTTTTTTTTTTTTTTTGAGCCAGTACAATTAAGAAATGGAAAAATTGTTTAGGAAACATTTAACTTTAACAGGTGCACACAATGTGCAATTCTTTTTAAGCTGCCAATGGGAACACAGGCTGAGAGTGAAGCTCTAGTTGTAGAGAAATAAATCCTACTCATTATTTGAATTAAATATTCAACATGCATCCTTGCTGATAGTGTTTGTTTCAAATGATTTTACCACCAGATGGCCCTTCAGAATACAGTGATGAAGGCCACCTGACTAAAGGATGTAATTCCAGTATCTAAAGAAGTTTAAAAGTGACTATAAAATAGCCAAAGGACTGAATCAGAGGCAGAATTACCAATATTTAAACCAGGTAAATTTATAATTTCATTATTTATGTTTGTTGCAGTCCTAGCTAAAGAACAGGAGTATCCCACTCACGAAACAAAAAACCCCAAAACACTACCAAAAGCTGGGACTGATACAAGGACTTTTAACCTTTTTTCTAATTTTTTAGAAGAGATGGAGCTCTGAGCTTTTTTATGAAATTGTGCTAAGCAGAAACCAGATAGCTGCAGATTGTCACAGAACAGAATTCAGTATTCATAGTGTTAAGTACAAATCTTTTGTTCAATCTTGCCTGTTCATGCAAACAAGCTGAGAAAATCCAGCTGGCCAGGATAATTAAAGCCACAGATTATCACGTAATGATCACAATATGAAAACATTCCAAAAGAATGAAAAACTATCATTCTAGATTAGTCTGAAGTCATTTTAGGAGAAGCAGAGAACTCAATGTAAAAAATTTGCAACCAAGAAAGGGGGAGGAACTCTATTGAGTTGTCACATCAGCTTGTGCAGCTTAGTGAGTGCAGTTATTAATAACTGCAACACAGCTGAAATCAAGACTTTTTTCCTGGTGTTACTAGCAAGGGAGAACAAAGCTGGGTAGTCTTCCTAGAAAAGGCAGTGTCAAGTGCTTAAAAAAGAGTATTGTGAACAAAGTTCTATTCAAGCTTCATACAATATGGCAAAAAT